CTTCTGGCTTTTTCCTTTTTGCATATGTGGTGCTGAGGAATCGAACCCAGGGCCTCAGGCATGCAAGGCAAGTGCTCTACCACTGAGCCACCTTCCCAGCCCCAACATTTTTAAATGTTAAAGGCAGGATAATGTTCATATTTTAGAAGTCTCTGCATCAGCTGGATGCCAGTAGCCCATGCCTGTAATCCTAGCTATTCAGGAGACAGAGATATGAGGATTGCAGTTCAAAGCCAGCTTCGGCAGGAAAATCTATGAGACTGTCCCCTCCAATTAAACAGCAGAAAAGCCAGAAGTGGAGCTGTGGCTCAAGTGGTAGAGTACCAGCTTGACCAAAAAGCCAATGAGAGTTGAGGCCCTGAGTTCAAGCCCCTATACCAGCACATACATACATACATACACATACACACACACACACACACACACACACAGAGGCTGAGCATGGTGTACATGCCTATAATCCCAGCTATGCAGAGAGTGGACAGAGTTGAAAAAGCTCCCTTTTACAATCTCAGGGAATCCCTGGTGTCTTTGAAACAGTCCCCAGCCCTCCTGTCTCCTTCCAGGAATATATTATACCTCCGCTAATCTGCAGAAGTCAATCTATTCTCTTCCCTCATCCAACTGTAAATCCAACTCCCAATTTTCTGGCAAAGCAGAAGAACACAAGACTGTGTGAAACAACCCCAAAAGGAGGCAAGGGGGAAAAAAACCGAGAACGTGGGGGGGCACGAGGAGCCATTGCCCAATTTCTTCCACAAATAAATTCTAAGAAACAAACTTCACAGAACAAGCCTGGCTGCGTTCAACCTGTGCACCTTGCTTGGGTTCTGGTTTGGGTGAACCAAAGCTCTCATGGATGTCTTTATTTGGGCTCCACTGGGGTTAGCATGGGGAGACATCGGGGGGACATTTTGTTGGCTTTTCTTTTGCTTTGTTTTTGTTTTTAACCTTTGTTTTCACTTTTTTAAATTATAATTTTATGCTTCGGTAGTTGTACCAAGCAAGGCGTTTCAGTTCAACATGGCGGTATGAGGACCGCACATCTAAAGCAATGCCACCTTTCCCATTGCTCTCCCCATCTCTCCCAACCCCACACCACCCTTCGGTGTCTCCAGTTCCATTTTCACACATGGTCATTGAGCATTGTGACCCTCTCTGTTCCCCCTTCCTCTCTCCAGCGCCCCTCTCTCCCCTTGACCTCACCCCTGCCCACACACACATCCATTTTCAGATTCCTGGTGTTCAATTTTTGGCCCTGTGAGTTAGTTGTTCAAAGGACTTACTCTGTTGGAATTCTCCCCTGCACAGACCAGACATGTAGCTTATACTTTTGTGTATCTATGTGTTTCCACGTTTGTAAATGAGATCTTACTTCCCCTACACAAGAGAAAACACGTGTCCTTTGTTTCTCTGGACTGGACTCCACTTAGCAGGATTTTTTCCCCATGTTTGTCTATTTCTTTGCAAATGATGGCTTATCATTCTTCTGATAGATGAGTAAAATTCTATCAGATATACAGATAGATATAGAGATATATAAATCCATTGGTCCATTGAGGGGCATCTATCTGGACTGTTTCTCCGATGTGTGTACAAGTGGCTTTCCTGTACCTTGAAGAGAAAAAAAAGCCTTTATTGTAAATTTTTAATACATTCAAAGAAAATTGAACACCTTACCAGTTCCCCACACACACCTTCCCTATCTAGCTTTGATGAAGATGAACACTGCTCAATCTATTTTCATCTCTCCCTCCACCCTCACTCCATCTCTTCCTCCTCCATTTTTTTGGCCTCTGGCTAAGAAGAATTCATCAAACATCCACATAACTAAAACACCCAGCCCATCCACCATGTTACTTAGCTAATACAATCGCAGATGACTGAAATGCACAAAACGCTCACCATGGCTCTCTGAGTCTAGTGAGCCCCGAGGACTCACAGCCCATTCAACAAACAGAAAATTTCCATGGCTGCAAAGATGTCTTCCCCCTCCATCTTCCCCCCCCCCACCCCCCTCCCCCGCCCTGCCCCCCAGCCAGGCAACAATTGTTCTGATTTTTCACTGGAGATTAGCTTTGCTTGTCCCAGGATGTCACATAAATGGAATGGCGCGGCGCATTCTCTTTTTGTGTGTGGGGGCTCTCTCATGTGGCACAATGTCTAGGGGAGCCATCTATATTCTCGTGGGTCCCTATCATTTCTTTTATTGCTGTATTCATTCTATTGTGCAGAGGACCCCATCCGTCCTCCGGTTGAGGGGGCTTGGATGGTTTCCAGTTCTTGCAGCCGTGATGAATAACGCTGGGGGCAGGAGTGGAACTTCACGCTCGCGTCTTTTTCTGTGGGCAGATGTTTACATTGCTCTTGTGTAAATACACAGAATTGCAGGATCAAAGGCTTGGAGACATGGCTAACTTCATCAGAAAGTGCCAGAGCTTTTCTCTGAAGTGATTGGATTCCTTAGCATTTCTGCCAGCAATGAAGGTCGCTTCAGACCGCTCCTGGTCCTAACCTGTGTCCGCTGTGGTTGGTGTTTGCATTTGATGACTTCTTGTATCTTCTCGTATCTTCTGGTTTAAAAATTTGCATTTCTCCAGTGATGAGTGAGGTTAGATATTTTTCTATGTGCTTCTCGACAGTGTATCTTTCTTTGTAAAATGTTATGCAAGTCCTTCCTCCCAGGATTGTGTGTGTGTATGTGTATGTGCATGTGCATGTATGTATGTGTGTGCCAATCCTGAAGTTTGAACTCAGGGCCTGGGTGCTGTCCCTAAACATTTTTTTGCTTGAGGCAAATGTTCTACCACTTGAGCCACAGCTCCACTTTGGCTTTTTGATGGCTAACTGGAGATAACAGTCTCACAGACTTTCTTGCCCAAGCTGGCTTCAAACCACAACCTTCATATCTTAGTCTCCTGAGTAGCTAAGATGACAGACATGAACTCCTAGTCACTCCAATTTTTGCTAAGTGTGTTTGAACTGAAGATTTTTTTTAAAATTCTAGAACAACTCCACTGCAGATATATTTTGTGATAATTTTCTTATCTTCTAATGAGATGCTTTATATTTGATGAAGCTCACTTTTTCTTTATGTCTGCATCTTGTCTTAAAAGAAAACAAAACACTTTGCCTTCCTCCTTCTAGTTGTAAAGATTTTTCTGTTTGTTTCCTTCAAGTAGCCTTAGAGAATTAACATCTTTTACACGTATGTCTATGATCCATCTTGAGAATACATGTATACTCAGGAGGCTAGGATCTGAGGATTGTGGTTCAAAGCCAAGGTTGAACAACAAAGTCCATCAGCCTTTTATCTCCAATGAACCATCAAAAAAGCCCCCAAAAGCTCAAGTAGTAAAGTGCTAGTCTTGAGCTAAAAAGCTCAGGGACAGCACCTAGATCCTGAGCTCAAGCCCAGGATCTGTGCGCATGCACTTGTACACACACATGCGCACACACACACACACACACACAGAATAGATGCATATTAATACATTTTTGCTCATGGGTATCTAGCTGTTCTTATACTATAGACTTAACAGGTTTTCCTCTTTTTGTTGGTGGTGGTGCTGGTTGTGGGGCTTGAACTCAGGGCCTGGGTGCTGTCTCTGAGCTCTTTTGCTAGCATTCTACCACTTGAGCCACAGCACCACTTCCGGCTTTTTCTGTTAAGATGGTACTGAGGAATCGAACTCAAGGCTTCATGCATGCTAGGCAAGCACTCTACCACTAAGCCACACTCCTAGCCCATGGTTTTCCATTTTTGTACTGAACTGTTTTGTCAAAAATTAGCAGGCGTGATTGCTTACGGTGTGCGAGTCTGCTGCCGTGTTTTCCTTTGCGGGCTTCTGCCCGGAAGGCCAGTTGCCAGTTCCCGCCTCTAGGTCCAACCTGCCCTGCCTTCCCTTCCTGCTCAGCCGCCAGGGAAACCACTTCCTGCATTTCTCCTGCAAGTGTGTGATGCCAATTCCGGTCACTAGAGGGCACTAGGGAGGCAACAGCACATCAGGGAGCATCTTCCAGTTTCCGTTTTTCTTGTTTGGGGTGTGTGGGGGGGAGATGTATGAATGGAACGTGCCCTGATTGTGTGCCCACACTCCCTTGATGGCTTCATGAGTGGAAGCCAACACTAGTGGCCACTTTGCTGCAGCCTTCCCACCAGAAATGCCAGGCTCCAGGCGATGGGGTGGGGGAGAGTACTAGGGTACCGGGGATTGAACTCGGGGCTCACACTTGCTAGGCAGATGCTCTATCACTTTGAGCCACAACCCCAATCCTTTTGCTTGTAGCTTGTAGGCAATCCTCTTCATAACTTTGCCTGGGCTGGCCTTGAACCGTGATTCTATCTCCACCTCCTAAGTGGCTGGACTTGCAGGTATGCGCCATCATCTCCCAGCCTCTGCTATTGCTAGTTTTCTACACATGTCTGTGCAGACTTCATGGCGGGACTATGTTCTGACACACACATAATAACTGATTTTGTCACTGTCCAGAGAAATTGTAGGTGAGATGCTGTTATCTGGGTACACACCCCAGCCTGCTGTCCCTGGATTTACATACCCGACTAGCACGTTCCAAGAGCAGATACTCTTCTCAGTTCCAACAGCTCAGGGGGCTAAGATCCAGAGGACAGTAGGCTCAGCACAGGCAGAAAGATGTGTGAGACTCTGGCTCCAAAAAGAACGCTATAAAATGCCAGGCTTGGAGACACCAAGTGGCAAAACACCAGCAGAACAAGTGTGGGGCCCTGAGTTCAAATTCTGAGACCAGCTTTGTCCCCCCCCCTCAAAAAACAAAAAGATGCTAGCAAAAATACACAGCAGCAGTGATTTTTTTTTCATCAGTTCTGCCGTCCTCTGTGTCTGGGCTCACCCCTGGGGCTCAGCATGTGCTTGTGTGCGGGCCCTGGCGGCGCGCTGAGCACGGCCCGAGGAATGAATTAATTGCCGTTGCCTTCCCTGTAGAGAGAGGAGGCGAGGCGGAAACACATCCGCCTGCACATGGAGGGGGCGCTGACCGCCCGGGACAAAGTCGGGGTGCAGGATTTCGTGCTGCTGGACGCCTACACCAGCGAGTCTGCCTTTGTGGACAACCTTCGCAAGCGTTTCAGCGAGAACCTCATCTACGTGAGCCAACACGTTATGCCTGCACCCCACTAGGCCTGATTCACTGCGGGACACCTCCGTCCTGGGGGGCAAGTGGCACATGGGGACTTGCCTGGGTACAGCGGGCTCTACCCAGGATCCCTCACGGTGCTGTGGTCCATCCCTGCAGACGTACATCGGGACGCTCCTCGTGTCGGTGAATCCATACCAGGAGCTGGGGATCTACACTGTGAGCCAGATGCAGCTCTACCAAGGGGTCAATTTCTTTGAACTGCCACCACACGTGTAAGTAATTTCTGCAGGGCGGCGCCTGGCAGTACTTTTCTTTCTTCTCCCATTCTCTCCCTTCCCTTCCTTTCTTCTTCCCATTCATCTGTTCATCTACCCATCAACCCACCCACCACCCATCCCACTCATCCATCCACCCACCCATCTACCCATCCACCCACCCATCTACCCATCCACCCACCCATCTACCCATCCATCCATCCACTCAGCCACCCACCCCACCCATCCACCCACCACCCACCCATCCACCCCTCCATCTACCAACCCATCTACCTACCCATCATCCATCCACCACCCACCCATCCACCCATCATCCGTCATCCATCCATCTACCCATCCACCCACCCATCTACCTATCCATCCATCCATTCATCCATTCAGCCACCCACCCATCCATCCACCCACTACCTACCCATCCACCCCTCCATCTACCAATCTATCTACCCATCCATCATCCACCCCCCACCCACCCATCCACCCATCATCCATCATCCATCATCCATCCATCTACCCATCCACCCACCCATCCACCCATCATCCATCCATCTACCTGTCCTTTTTCCACCCACGCAAATCCCTCCACGAAAGCTTCTGCTTTCTTCTTGCAGGTTCATTAATACGTTAATGCACGTTCATTAAGCTGCTGCCTTCTTATGAAGTCAGTCAAAGTGCTAGAAAATATCAATAGGTCATTTTGGACTCTCAAGTAGGCAAGAGGTGGAGTTTGTTTAACTGCTGAGAAATCTTGTGTGGCTAGAGAAGCGGCTTCTTTGGGCAGTGGCTTGCTCTACTGCCATCTACTGGTGTCTGATGATCATGGCGGCTAAGAAGAGTGTCACGGGTGGGAATTTCTCTGGGCCGCAGATCCTTCAAGGGAGATGAATCTGCACAGGCCTGGCTTTTGCCGGATTTTCCGCTTCTCCTCCGTGGTTGGTCTCTGAGCTAATATTGAGAGTCTCCTCACCCCAATCTGTCTCCTGGGAGTCTCGGCCATTCCAGGCACTTATACACCTTTCCATGTCAGGCTTTGCTTTCTGATCTTAGAGATAAAACTGTTTCCTAACTATCTCAGTAACTTCTAATCTCTCTGGTTTCCTGCCTCTATGTTCTTAGTATTCCAGGCGTTAAGAGAAAGAGAAGACATGAGATGTTATCCAATTTATTGAATTATTTAATCATTGGACAAGATGCTATTTCTATCTACGGTTAATAGACTAGCTCTTGGGGTATAATTTAGTATTTATTCTGTGTGTGCATGCGCATGTGCTAGTACTGGAGCTTGAACTCAGGGCCTGCCTGGGTGCTATTTGCTATTTAGCCTTTTTGGAAAAGGCTAGTACTCTTACCACTAGAGCCACAGCTCCACTTCTGGCTTTTTGTTGCTTAATTGGAGATAACAGTTTCATGGACTTACTTGGGCTGGTTTTGACCTCTATCCCTCAGCCTCCTAAGTAACTAGGATTATAAGTGAATGCCTCTGGCTAGTATCTGGTTTGTTCTTTTAAGAAATATAGAAGGGGGGCTGGGAAGGTGGCTCAGTGGTAGAGCGCTTGCCTTGCATGCCTGAGGCCCTGGGTTCCATTCCTCAGCATGACATAAATAAAAAGAAAAAAGCTGGAAGTGGCACTGTGGCTCAAGTGGTAGAGCGCTAGCCTTGAGCTGAAGAGCTGAGGGACAGCGCCCAGGCCCAGAGTTCAGGCCCACGACTGGAACCTCCCCCCCCCAAAAAAAAATGAAAAGAAATATAGAAGGGGCCGAGTGCCAGTGGCTCAGGCCTGTAATCCTAGCTACTCAGGAGGTAGAGAACTGGGGATTGCAGTTCAAAGCCAGCCCAGGCAGGAACATCCATGAAACTCTTTTTTTTTTTTTTTTTGGTTGGTCATGGGGCTTGAACTCTGGGCCTGGGCGCTGTCCCTGCACTCTTCAGCTCAAGGCGAGCACTCTACCCCTTGAGCCACAGTGCCACTTCCGGTTTTCTAGTGGTTTATTGGAGATAAGAGTCTCATGGACTTTCCTGCCCAGGCTGGCTTTGAACCGAGATCCTCAGATCTCAGCCTCTTGAGTAGCTAGATTACAGGTGTGAGCCACCGGCGCCCGGCTTCCATGAAACTCTTATCTCCAATGAACCACCAGAAAACCAGAAGTGGAAGTGGCTAGCCTTGAGCTGAAGAGCTGAGGGACAGAGCCCAGGCCCAGAGTTCAAGTCCCGGGACAGACACAAAATAAAATGTAAATAACAGAATAAACATAGTAAGTCTCACACCTAGTAGGTCTTGCAAGGAAGGCAGTATGTGTGTCTGTTGTGTGTGTGTGTGTGAATGAATGTGCTTGTAGCCCTCTCTGCCATGGCCTCCTGGAGTACAGCCCTCTGCCTTTCTGCGGGGTTAGGGGACTCTCATAGCCAGGGAGGCAGCACCAAGGCCACTGTGTGTCCACCCCTTCAGCTACGCCATCGCGGACAACGCTTACCGCACCATGTGCTCGGAGCTCAGCAACCACTTCATTCTCATCTCTGGAGAGAGCGGGGCGGGGAAGACCGAGGCCTCTAAGAAAACCCGCAAGAATTCCCCCGCAACCGCCCAAAGACCGAGTCCCTGCAGATAGCCCGCGACAGGCTCCTGCTCTCCAACCCCGTGCTGGAGGTAAAGATGGCGGGGGAGCCGTGGAGGGGCTGGAGGAAGGGTGGTCAGCATGGGGAGACTTAGAAAGAAGGACGTGACCTTGAAGGAGGTGTTAGAGGGCCTTCTGTACCTTCCTCTTAAGAAGTTTGGGGGAGGGCTGGGAAGGTGGCTCGTGCCTTGCATGCATGAGGCTCTGGGTTCGATTCCTCAGCACCACATAAGCAGAAAAAACTAGAAGTGGCCCTGTGGCTCAAGTGGTAGAGCGCTAGCCTTGAGCTGAAGAGCTGAGGGACAGCGCCCAGGCCCAGAGTTCAGTATGAAGAGTTGAAGGACAGCACCCAGGCCCAGAGTTCAGTATGAAGAGTCAAAGGATAGCGCCCAGGCCCAGAGTTCAGGCCCCACAACCGACCCAAAAAAAAGTTGGGGGGATTAAAGGAGATGACCATATAATAACTACATAGTGAAGTTTTCTTCTCCCTCCCTTCCTCCCCTCCTCCTCCTCCTCCTCCTTCATTTTGGTTGGTTGTCGACTCTTCAACTCAAGGCTAGTGCTCTACCACTTGAGCCACAGCGCCGCTTCCAGTTTTCTGGTGGTTCCTTGGCAATACCAGTCTCATGGTCAGTAGGCCATTTTGATCCCTAGACTGGACTCTAGGGGAGAAGCGCTTTCCGCTGCTTCCCAGCCCAGGCCCAATGCTAGCACCAAATTCTCTGTAGTTAGCAAGTCCTTAGATAAATATGGCTTTTTTTGGGGGGGGGTCCAGTCATGGGGCCTGAACTCTGGGCCTGGTCACTGTCCCTCAGCTCTTCAGCTCAAGGCTAGCACTCTACCACTAGAGCCACAGCGCCACTTCCGGCTTTTTTCAATTTGCTTATATCGTGCTGAGGAATCGAACCCAGGGCCTCAGGCATGCAAGGCAAGTGCTCTACCACTGAGCCACCTTCCCAGCCCATAAATACGGCTTTCTTCACTGGCTTTCTTCACTTCCTTTTGCTCCTGTTTTCTTTTGTTCCTTCTTTTCCTTTGTACCAATCCTGGGACTTCAACTCAAGTCCTGAGCACTATTTCTTAGCTTTTTCACCCAAGGCTGGCACTCTACCACTAGAACCACAGCTTCATTGCCAGCTTTTTGGTGCTTCATTGGCAATAAGGGTCTCACTGACTTTTCTGCCCAGGGTGGCTTCAAACCTTGATCTTCAGCTCTCGGCCTTCTGTGTAGCTCGGCTTGCAGGCCTGAGCCACTGGTGCCCGGCTTCTGTTTTCCTAATATTCCTGTTATTTGGGAGTCAGGATTTTGACACGTGTGGTGAACTTATGTGGCACTTTGTATCCCAAGGCTTTTGGAAATGCCAAAACACTCCGGAATGACAACTCGAGCAGATTCGGCAAATACATGGACATACAGTTCGACTCTCAGGTACAGTGAATTTCCTGGCACCTCTTCATGGGCCCCCCCCCCCCTTTGGGCTAGTGATGGAACCACCCACAGCTCCTGGAGGTAGGAAGAACACTCGTTGGCTCACAGTTAAAAAATGTTGAGGATTAGCTGGGTGCCGGTAGCTCACTCTAATCCTAGGAGGTAATTACTCCTGTACTCTCAGGAGGCTGAGATCTGAAGATGGCAGTTCAAAGCCAGCCAGGGCAGGAAAGTCCCTGAGACTCTTATCTCCAATGAACCACCAGAAAACTGGAAGTGGAGCTGTGGTAGAGCGCTAGCCTTGAGCGAAAGAGCTCAGGGACCGCACCCAGGCCCTGAGTTCAAGCCCCATAACTGACCAAAAAAAGTAAAAAGAAAAAAGTGTTGAGGATTGGTGCTAATTTTAGGAAATGCAAATGAAAGCCCCTGGGGGGTGGGTACCATTTTATAACCTGCAGAAGAGCAAGTGTTAAGAGGAGACTAGTGGGTGTGGCTGAGGGTAGATGATTGGGAATCTTCCACCTGGCTGGCTGGCGGGAGGGGGGGGAGGGGGGAGTGAGGGGTACATTATTAGCCCAGCCCATTTTGGTTTTGGGTTGTTTTCCAAATGGGTTGCAACCCTGATAGGAAATGGATTTGTGTGAATGACACTGCACAATATGAAGGGGTCAGATCTCAGCCTCCCGAGTAGCTAAGATGGAGGCGTGAACCACGGCACCCGCTATGCAGAGGTTCTGTGAGACATTTGATAGTTCTGTGTATTTTAAAGCTTTTTTTTGTTGTTGTTTTAAACGAAGTTCAGCACCTCTGCTACCAAGGACATGTTCCTAATGATGGCTTGATGTTTTGTTTTTCTTGACCAGTCCTGGGGCTTGAACTCAGGGGCTAGGCACTGTCCCTGAGCTGCTTTTGCTCAAAGCTAGCACATTTACCACTTGAGCCACAGTGCCACTTCCAGCTTTTTCTGTGTCTGTGATGCTGAGGAATCGAACCCAGGGCTTCATGTGTGCTAGGCAAGCACTCTACCACTAAGCCATGTTTCCAGTCCACTGGATCTTTTACAGAGTTGCCTGTGTGTATAGACAAGCAACTCTGATCAAAATATACAAGGTTACCATCATCAGAGATTTGGGCTGCTTGTCCTTGAACTTCATGTGAATGGAATGATTCAGCCGGTTCTCACTTCTGTCATTCATGCTGCTGCTCATAGAAGTGGTTTATGATTCTATTGCACAACGCATCTTGCAATTGATATGTTCTCCTGTGGGTGGATTTGGGGCTGTTTCCATTGGGGGGGGGGTCATTTCAAATAGTGTTGTTGAGCCTTCAAGCTGTGAGGTTTTGTTTTTGTTTGAGACCAGGACTTGAACTCAGTATCTGATGCTTTCACTCATTGGCTGGCACTCTACCACCTGATCCATGCCTCCAACCCTTTTTTGGGTTGCCCATCCTGGGGCTTAAACTCAAGGCCTGGATGCTGTCCCAGACTACAGCACCACTTCTGGTTTTCTGGTGGTTGATTGAAGAGTGAAGGATTTTCCTGCCCAAGCTGGCCTCAAACCATGATCCCCAGATCTCATCCTCCTGAGTAGCGAGGATGACAGGTGTGAGGTACCGGTGCCCAGCCCAAGCTGTGTTTTAACACATACAAGTACTTCTGTATGTTGGAAGTCCAAAGGTGGGACTGAGGGCTTCTTGCCGACAGTGCTCTGAGCGTCCATTAATGATGAGCAGGTTCTCAATGGTTCCAATCACTGTGTTACTCCTGTTATTCATCCTTTTGGTTTTATAAGCTTTTGTGTTTTGTGTTTTTGGTGTGTGGGGAGGGGAGTGTCAGAGTGCTTTTTCACTAGGATTGCAACTCCCATCTCCCTGGTAGTTAATGAAGTGTTGTTTCTAATTGATTGGGTTTTTTTTCTTATTAATGTTCTGGATTTAAAATCCTTTAAAAAAGTAATGAGGCCTTGCAAAGAGAATTGTATTCATTACCTGACTTATGAAACAGCAACTCTGCTCATCACATTAAAAAAAAAAACCTTCCTGAAGAAAGAAAATAGAGAGGCCAGTGGACTAGACCCCAGAGAGTCACCCCCGCCCCCTCTCCAGGCTCTACATGCCCTTGTGCCCGAGGTCACTGTGACTCTGGAGAGGAGTCTCTCTTCCTAACTCTCATGCTCATTGGCTGGGCATCAACATGGACAGGAAGACCTTTGACCCCCACCTCAGGCCATAGACAGAATGTCACTAGTGTGACAGATCGTGTTTCTGCACAAAACCAAAACCACCTTCATGGCCTTGCAGGAGACCCCAACCATCTCACACCGAATCTGGGAAACACATCAGGGGTGATAACAGCATAGACTTCACTTACCTGAAGACTTTCTGGTCTTCAGAGTGACTGGATGGTGAAGGGTCACGGCACCATTTTGGTTTTGTTCACTGTGTTTTGAAGGGCGTTCCCGTGGGCGGGCACATCATCAGTTACCTGATAGAGAAGTCTCGCGTGGTCTACCAGAGCCAGGGCGAGCGGAACTTCCACGTCTTCTACCAGATGCTGGCGGGTGGAGAGGAGGAGCTCCTGGCCAGCCTGGGGCTCCAGCCAGACCCCCGGCTCTATAAATACCTCTCTCAGGTGGGAAGGGCCAGCCTCTGGGTGTAGGGGTGTTTGTGGGGGCTGCTAGAGGATGTTCCAGAACTTTGCCCTTCTAGATGTACTCTCCTGCATGACCCTTCAACAAGCATGCTAACCTGTCTCCCTGGATGCTTGATAGCCTTGGCCTTTGGGTATAGAAGCCCAATGTCCCAAGTTCTCAGTGTAGTATAGCTCAGAGGCATAGCACTTCTCCAGCATGTGCAAGGCCCTGGGTTCAAGCCTCAGCACCAAATAAATTAATTAAAACAAGGATGCATTATCCCTACTCTCCAGAGATATGAATTTAGTGTAAGAGGTTGGGACCTAAACATCATTAGAGGTGTAGAGTATTTGCCTATCCTGAGCAAGGCCCTGGATTCAATCCGAAGCACCATAAAACCAAAGTAAAAACAAAGAGCTCCTCTAATGATTTTACTTATTTTCTTTTTTCCCAGTCTTAGAGCTTGAACTCAGGGCCTGGGCGCTGTCCCTGAGCTCTTTTGCTCAAGGCCAGTGCTCTACCACTTTGAGCCACCATGCCACTTCTGGTTTTCTGGTGCTTCATGGGAGATAAGAGTCTCATGGACTTTCTTGCCTGGGTTGACTTCGAACTGTGATCCTCAGATCTCAGCCTCCTAGATAGCTAGGATCACAGGCATGAACTACCGGTGCCTGGCTTACAATTTTTTTAGTTGATTTTTTATTTTTTGCTGGTACCTGGGTCTGAACTCAAGACTTCAGCTTGCTTGGCTTGCTTGTTTTGTTGGTGCTCTCCTTCTTGGGCCATTCCTCCAGGCTGGATTTTCATTGGCTATGCTGGAGAAGGAGTATCTCATTTTTCTAGCCACTAGCCTGGCTTCAAATCATGATCCTCTGGATCTCAGCCCAAGAACAGGATCCTCAGATCTCAGCCTCCTGAGTAGCTAGAATGGTAGGCATGAGCCACCAGTGCCTGGCTCAAGCTATTTTTGAAAAGAACTATTCCAAGCAGGTGCTGGTGGCTCACACCTATAACACTAACTACTTAGGAGGCTGAGATCTGAGGATCACGGTTCAAAGCTGGCCCAGGCAGGAAAGTCCACGAGACTCTTTTCTTCAATTAACTACAAGAAAACCGGAAGTGGCACTGTGGCTCAAGTGGTAGAGCACTAGCCTTGAGCTGAAGAGCTGAGGGACAGCGCCCAAGCCCAGAGTTCAGGCCCCACGACTGGACCCCCCCCAAAAAAAAGAGGCAGCTTTGTCATATCCATTTCCATATGGCTTACATAGAGTTCTAGAATGCCCACACTGTCCGAGTACTATTTCAGGTCTTTGGTACTTTCTTATCCCTTCCCCCGCCCCCAAGTTAATTTTTCTTTTTCCTTCTTATTGGACTTGGCTTTGAACTGAGGTCAGCCAGCAGATGGTAGGTCAGGAAAACCAGACTTCATGAAGCAAAGATCACAAAATAAAGACCAACGTATTGGAGAAATTTTAGAAGAAGAGAATATTTGATAGAAGATTACCTTGAAAGATGAAGCTAAATGAAAAAGATAAAAGAACCTTATAACTTCATTTTATGTGGAATAAACTGTGGCCTCATTCTCACAATGAACAACCAGTTCTGATTATTTTTTTTCCTTTTATGAAGAGCCTCATGTTTGCCACAAAGCCAGAGTTACATCACAATTGTGTTTTTGTTTTTATTTGTGCCAGTCTTGAGGCTTGAACTCAGAGCCTGGTTATTATCCCTGAGCTTTTTTTTTTCCTCAAAGCTGGTGGTCAACCATTTGAGCCACACCTCTAGCTCAGCTTTTCACTGATTATTTTAGAGATGGAGTTTAGCAAACTTCTTCCTCCCACTCCCACCGCTCCTCTCCGGGGCCTTTATACCAATCATATTAGTGTCTATCCACAATTCTCTGTATCTCAGCCTCCTGAGTAGCTAGGATTAACAGGTATGAGTCACCTGTGCCTGGCTCAGAACAGAAGATTTTAAAATAAAACTCCCAGTAGATTTAAAGGGGAAAAAGTTAGCAGGCCCATGGCAGACAGTAATAGCTATTTGTTTATAATGTATATCACTGGCTTCTAGCATGCTTTGGAGAGAAAACCCATTTTCATGTAGGAATAAATAAGTGCTCACTGAACAGTCTTGCAGATCCCATCAATAACCCAGTTGTTGTGCAGGGTCATTGCTGCAAAGAGTCATCTATCAATGACAAGAATGACTGGAAGACTGTTTGCAATGCCTTCTCCATCATTGACTTCACGCACTCTGACCTGGAGGTAAGGCCTGGGCTGGTCTGCCCCTGTTCTCCTGGATTCTGCCCCACAGTCAGCAAATAAAGGCACTAGAGATACACAGGAAACCATTATTTTAGTGTAAGTATGTCCCAATGAATACATATAGGCAAAAACAAACACACTTGAGAATTGGTCAGTGGTGCTGGGTGCCAGTGGCTCACACCTGTAACCCCAGCTACTCAGGAGGCTGAGATCTGAGGATCGTGGTTGAAAGCCAGCCCAGGGCAGGAAACAAAGACACATCAGTGAGATTCTCTTCTCCAAGGAACAATTAGCAAAAAAGAGAAAGGAAAAAAAATCCAGACGTGGAGTTGTGGCTCGGTGGTAGTGAGCTTGGGTCTGGGATGGATCAAATGCCTCTCCCGATGCCTTCTCCCTTCTCTTCCTGGCTCACGTTCTAGAACCTCTTTGGAATTATCGCCAGTGTGCTGCACCTGGGGAACATCTGCTTTGAAGAAGACGAGCGCGGCTGTGCCATGGTCCCGGTCAACCGTGAGATTAAATGGATTGCCAAGGTGACCTTGCTCCAGAGGGAAGTGTGTTGGGAGGGGAGAATGGGGAGGGGGCCATCCTAGAAAGTTCCAGAACACTTCCCAAGGGAACAAGGAAAACCAAGTCCTTCAATGGCTCTTTGAACTCCTTTTTATCCAGCTCCTGGGGTTCTGCCCATCGATTCTTCTGGAAGCTCTCACACACAGAAAGATTGAAGCCAAAACGGAGGAGGTAAAAATGGCTGTGAGTGGAGCTGTCCCCTGTCTCTCCCTGGGGGGAGCAGTATGGCAGTGACCTTGGGGGACGTCCCGCCTACCAGGCCCATTATCTCCTTCCTTCCTGGGGGCTCTTCCCGGGCTGTTCCTGCTGCTGGATCACTGTTCCCTTGGCTTTGGTGCTCCTGGAGCGTCCTACCTGGACCCCTCTTCTCGCTCCCCACCTGCAGGCTGATTGCGTGATGCTTCCAGCCCTCTACCCTCGGCCCCAGACAGGGCATCTTGGTCCCAGGCTTCCCAACCTGTCACTGTGTGATCGCACATCTCATCCCTCTTCACAGGTGATCTGTCCGCTGACCGTAGAACTCTCCGTCTATGCCCGAGACGCCTTGGCAAAGGCTGTTTATGGACGGACGTTTACCTGGCTGGTCAACAAAATCAATTCGTCCTTAGTGAACAAGGTACGTCAACCGTGTGGAGGATTGGCTCTCACTAGGGTAGGAATGTCTTAACTGCGGCCACAGTTGATTTAAAGAATCCAGGAGCAGGTTGGGCACGCCTCAGAGACATAGGCAGGGTCTCTCTCTGTCTGCCTTCGAATGGGGTGTGCACAGTAGGCCCCTGGGCGCACACCAGCTGGCTTGCAGCAGCTGGAAACTGTTGAATAGTGGAGGGTGGAAGGAACAGGGAGAGCGGGAGGGGCCAATCGGGTGAATGTGGTCATGTGACCAGATGTGTGGAAATGGAAGCCTGAAGGGCACTGACAATGTCTGGGAATGGAGGGGAAGCGGGGAGCCTGATCAAGGTACGTTGTTTGCCTCTAGGGACACGAACCCCACCTTATAAAAGTAATTGTTAATAAAAGATGTTAAAATAATTTGGGTGGGGCATGTGAACTTGAACTTAGGTTCTCGTGCTTGGTAGGCAGGTGCTTTACTGCGTGAGCCACACGCCTAGCATTTTTTGCTTTGTTTTTGGAATAAGATCTCGTATATTTATTTGCCCAGGCTAGCCTGCTCCCACATAGCTGGGATCCCAGGTATATGTAACCAGAGACAGTGTATTGATTGAAATGGGGTCTCACTAACTTTTTGACCAGGATTGGTTTTGAACCATTATTCTGACAATCCCCAGCCCCTGGCGGGGCCACCACATCTGGCCCCCACAGTAAGTCTACTTTAATGCACCTAAAAATATAACTAACCTTCAAATTCATGTTTCCTTTGCAAGTGGAGTTATCTTGGAGGCTTCTCCACTAACATGAATTGTGGGGGTTTGGGTCTGGGAAAAGTCACACTACAGTGCTGGTGTTCAGGAGACATATGTAGCTCCAGCCTCTGTTCCTTGGGAAGCTGGACGGAGCTACCTGACCTTGCTCGAGTGTGCTGCCCAGAGCTCCCTTTCCTTTCCTCCCTCCCTCTTCTTTCCTTTCCTCCCTCCCTCCTTTTCTTTCACTCGCTCGCTCCCTCCCCCCTCTCTCTTTCTCTTTCTCTTCTCTTCTTTTCTTCCTGGAGAGAATGTGGGCTCTGGAGGCTGCAGAGGCATAATACAGGGAGTCACCGCCCTGGGGGATGAAGGCCACAGGGGGAAGATAGAAGGTTACAGTCACCTCACAAAAAATGAGAGGGGGGAGAGGGAGGGGCAGATAGAACAAGTGTTATATCTGCATCTTTGTTGAGGGGCACGGATAACATTTTGAGTAGCACATTTTTTTTTGCCAGCCATGGGACTTGAACTCAGGGCCTGGGCATTGTTCCTGAGCTTCTTTGGCTCAAGGCTAGCACTCTACCACTTGAGCCACAGCACCACTTCTGGCCTTTTCTGTGTATGTGGTGCTGAGGAATGGAACCTAGGGCTTCATGCATGCGATGCAAACTCTTTACCACTGAGCCATCTTCCCAGCCCTATGATTTTTTAAAAAATAAATTAGCCCACTATAATACATGCTGGAGCCTGGGTCACTTGATGAGGAGTAGAGGTTTGTTTCCTCACAGTTCTGGACGCTCAGAGGCACATCCAGGTGAGGGTTTCTTGCTGGCAGCATCCTGAGGTGGCCCAGGGTGCCACATGGCAAGGGCAGGGAGGGCACAGGTGTGTCTTCTGGCCTCTCCCCCCTCTCCTCAGAAATCCACCAGGATTCAGGAATCGGGTCCCATGCTGATCACCTTAACCACCTCTCAAAAGCCCCATCTCAGACAAGCGCCGTGGCTCACGCCTGTCATCCTAGCTTCTCTCTCAGGAGACTGAGATCTGAGGATCACTGCTCAAAGCCAGCCCTTCAGGAAAGGCTATGAGACTCTTCCATTATCAAAAAGCCAGAAGTGGAGGTGTGGCTCAGGTGGTAGAGTGCTGGCCATGAGCAAAATAGCTCAAGGAGAGCGCCTGGGCCCTGAGTTCACGCTCCAGGACCAACGCCAAAAATAAATAAAAAATAAAGTCCTGTTTCCAAACTCCATAGTCAAATTAAATGTCTATTTCTTAGTACTTCAGTGGGGAGGGGGCAGGTTCGTCCCCTCCCATGATCCCTTGAGAGACACATAACCATCCAACCCCGGCCCAACCCACCAACGGTGGCTGTTACTCAACTAGGATCTCGCTCAGAAAACGGTGATCGGGTTGCTGGACATCTATGGTTTCGAAGTCTTGGACAAGAATGGGTGAGTCTGTCACCACGGCCTGTCAGACCCTCTTCTCACAGTTCAAGTCCGGGTTGGAGTCATCTTTAGTGATTCTGGAACGGATTCTACCGTCCCAGGCATTTCTGTAGATCTGCTAGGCCCTACTTCAGTCTAGAAGTAGAGGAGCCATAAAAATCATGTACACATTTCACTGTGACTATTGTGATTTGTTTCGTAAATTATCAAATAAAGGCTTTGGCCAGATGCCAGTGGCTCACCCCTGTAATCCAAGCTACTGAAATCTGAGGATCGAAGGCCAAGGCCAGCCCAGGCAGGAAACTCCATGGGACTCAATTAAGGAGCACAAAGCTGGAAATGTAGCTGTGGCTCAAGTGGTAGAATGCTAGCCTTGAGCAGAAAAAGCTAAGGGATAGTGCCCAGGTCCTGAGTTCAAGTCCTAGGTCTGGCATGTGTGCGCACGGGCACACACACACACACACACTAGAAAAAAGCTGGAGAAAGAACAGAGAAGGAATAATCATACAACGAGTGGCAGTCATTTCTGTGGATAGGCATATGGCTGAATACTAGAAGTAGGAAAGTGAAGCTCAGGTGGGTGCTCCACCACATGAACCATGCCTCCAGCCTGGCTTTTTGTTGGCAGTGTTGGAGATGGAGTCTTGTAGGTTTTTCTGCTCAGGCTGGCTTTGAACTGGGACCCTCTGGATCTGAGCCTCCTGAGCAGCTGGGATTTCAGGCCTGAGCCCCTGGTGTCTGCCATAAACACAGTGTTTAATAGTCTTGCTGTGTGTGTGTCCCTGTGTCACGGCATCCCTGGCATGTCTAGTTTTGAACAGTTCTGTATAAATTACTGCAATGAGAAGCTCCAGCAGCTGCTGATAGAGAGGACGCTGACGGCAGAGCAGGCAGAGTATGAAGCGGAAGGCATCCAGGTAAACCCACCCATTTGATTGCTTCATCTAGCCATAGACATTCGCTTCCCCTCCTCTGCAAATTTCTTGGAAACACATTTTGATATTCAGAGAAATAGAGTTTGCTTAAGATGAGGTACCAAAACTTTTGAACAATGGAAAAATAAACGCCTTTGGGAAATTCATTTTAAAAACCAATGTATTGCCGAGTGCTACTGGCTCACGCCTGTAATCCCAGCTACTTAGGAGGCTGAGATCTGAGGGTTGTGGTTCGAAGCTTAGCCTGGGCAGGAAAGTCCATGAGACTCTTATTTCCAATTAACCACTACATAAGCAGAAAGTAGAGCTAGGGCTCAAGAACACTAGCCTTGAATGACAAAAGTCAGGGTTAGCACCCAGGCCCAGACAGTTCAAGCCCCATGACCACCACCACCAACAAACAACAAGAGCCAAGGGCAAGCATGAGGCACCGAGTTCAAGCCCCAGTGCCAACACATAAAGCAACATACATTCTACCTTGGAGAAGTCTTTTGTCCTTGTCATTTTTTAGTGGGAGCCCATTCAGTATTTCAACAACAAGATCATCTGTGACTTGGTGGAAGAGAGGCACAGAGGAATCATATCCATTCTGGTGAGGAAATAGCTTGTGATTCCCAGGCCATTCATCGGGTGTGTAGCATAAGGAGGAACTTATTTTGGCCTTCAAAAGGGTGGAGAGTAAGGTGGGTATGGTGGCCCATTCCTGTAATCCCTACTCAGGAGGCAGAGGTAGGAGGATCAGGTCTGAGGCCAGCTCAGGTAAAAGCAAGAGACCCTATCTGAAAAACTAGGAGCAAAAAAAAAAAAAGGTGCGTGTCACGTGGTTGTCTTTTCCTTTTGGAGGATGAGGAGTGCATCCGCCCTGGCCCCGCCACAGACTTGAGTTTCCTAGAGAAACTGGAAGAAAAAGTGGGCAAGCATGCACACTTCCAAACGTACGTATGTGCTTTGTCTGGCAGCCTGCTCGGGATGGGGTGTCTTTTGGGTAGGAGCCTCAAAACTATAATTACTGTTTTTTTGGGGGGGGTTGTTTGTTTTTTCTTTTCTTTTTTTCTGTTGGTCGTGGGGCCTGAACTCTGGGTGTGGGCGCTGTCCCTCAGCTCTTCAGCTCAAGGCTAGCGCTCTACCACTTGAGCCACAGCGCCACTTCTGGTTTTCTGGTGATTAACTGGAGAGAAGATCTCACAGACTTTCCTGCATGGGCTGGCTTTAAACCACGATCCTCAGATCTCAGTCTCCTGAGTAGCTAGGATTACAGGTGTGAGCCACTGGCTCCCAGTTAGTTATTTTTATATAGCGTCTCATGTTTATAGCTGTTTCCAAGGACAAGTTACGTGAAATTTAGGAATACTCTGGATCAGAAATAGGGTGTTTCAGGAGTACTTTAATCTCTGAATAAACATAATATGGTCAAATTGTTTCTTAGATACCAATTAGAAAAACAGAAGTTGTTGAAAAAAACAAATTACAAAAAACAAAAGCATAGATTTTGGCACTGGTTGCTCATACCTGTTATCCTAACTACTCAGAAGGCTGAGATCTAAGGATCACAGTTCAAAGCCAGCCCTGACAGGAAAGTCAGTGAGATTCCTTATCTCCAATGAAGCACCAAAAATGTTGGAAGTGGAGCCGTGGCTCAAGTGGTAGAGTGCTAGCCTTCAACAAAAAAAATAAGCGTAGGGATAGTGCCTAGGTCCCCAAGTTCAAGCCCTAGGACCAGCACGCATGCACACACACACACACGTACGTGATTCTGCAGCTCACACATGTAATTTTATTAGAAGGAGGAGCCTAAAGAGAGGCCTTGACCAATAGTCAGAGACCTTCATCAGTAGCCACACCCCTTAATAGCCAGACGCCTTGATCTGTAGCCAAAGGCTATGATTGATGGGCCGAGGCCTGGACAGGTAGCCAGAGAACAGGTGCCAGGGTTTTCTGGGCCCCTGCACCGGGCCAGTGGTTGGTGTGGGCGGCGGCTCCCTGGCACCTCGTGCAGGGCCTGTCCTCCTCCTCAGTTCCTGCCTTTGTGTCCCGCAGCCGGAAGCTGGCAGGGCCGCAGGCCCGGAAGAGGATCGGCTGGATGGAGTTCCGGCTCCTGCACTATGCGGGCGACGTCACCTACTGCACCCAGGGTGAGGGCCTGGGGTGCCAGGCGGGGGGTGGGGAGGGCAGCCCAGGTCACTGAGGAGGGGCTGCCCTGCGTCATCCACAAGGGTGGCTTTATTCCGTTTATGCCCCAAGTGGTATGTTCTGAGCATGTTCTAGAAACAGGATGACAGAATGGTCTCTGGGGTCTGGCTTCTTCCCTTCAGTGTAACCTCTCAGAGCTGGTTCCATGTTGCCATTCATTTTCATGGTCAAATAATATGCCACTGCGCATGTGCTCGTTGCATGACGAGGTTTGAGGTCTCCGATACTTTTCAGCTTTTGGAGGAAATGCTGTTCTGAGCATCGCGTGCCAGGGTTATGTTCTAGTGGTTTCCTTTTTGCCTTGGTGTAGCGTTAGGGGCAAAATTGCTGAGTCTCGTGGTAACTCTGTGCTCAATATCCAAGCTCCTGCCCGACAGTCTTCCATTCATATGTCTCATTTCTCCACATCCTGACCAGCAGGACATGGAGTCTCATGGGCTATTCTGTCCAGGCTGGCTTTGAACTGCAGGCCTCCAGATCTCAGCCTCCTGGGTGGCCAGGATTACAGGCGTGAGCCACCAGTGCCCTTGTGACAGCTTCTTAATAGAATGGTAGCCAGGGATGGGAATCCCAGCACCCAGGAGGCAGAGATGGGAGGATTGTACGTTTGAGGCAAGGTCTGCACAGCGAGACACTGTCCAGACGATTAAATGAAGGCTGGAGGTTCACACCGAGATGGTTAGCGTTTCAAGGGTAGCCTGAGCACCACAGATGGAGAACCTGGTTCTCAGTCAGGGATCCCGACCCCAGGGAGAGCCGCCATGTCTAGGATGTGTTTGGTGGTTGTCAGAGGGAAAATGGCTCCTGGGAAGCTCATGTGAGCCTTGGGCAGAGATGCTGTTGGGTCCCGCGTGGATGAGTGACCCGTCCCGAATGGATACTGGCACCCCCTCAAGGCCGAGGTACCACCGCCGTCCACTGGGACAACAAAGCATATTTGGGCAAAGCCAGTCATTCCGGATTATTATACTTTACAGGATTCTTGGAAAAGAACAATGATCTCCTTTATACACATCTGAAAGAAGTAAGTCTGGGGCTTAACCCAACGTGTTTCCAATGGTTCTGATTTACCCCCGGGACACAGGACCTAGGGTAGCTTCTAGAATTTTCTGGTCCAGGCGTTCTGTCTCCACACATCGTGGTGGACACTGACACTTAAATTGGCTCGAGTGTGGGGGGCCTCCGCTGCAGGCCAGCTCTGAAGCAAGAGGAGGAATCTTGCTCTGCTGGGGTTCACGAGTGGGAGTGGGTGAATACACACGCACAGAGGAGCCATTGGCGAGAAGCGTGATGGTGAAAATGAGCGAGGAGCTGTGACCAAAAGGGACACTTAATCACACGCTCGGAAAAGCGTTACCCGGGGGGGCTGACTGGGCTGCAATCTGAAATCTGATTCTGACTATAGAGAGGTGTTAGACAGCAGACAGAACAGCATATGCAAAGGGCCTGTGGCCAGGTGAGCTCGAGTGCATGCAGCAGGGATGGGTCAGGAGAGGGGAGGAAAGCACCGGCCATGGAGGAAGACACGTTCTGATTCTGTGAGAAAATTGAGGTCACAACACACAACTTGGGGCTGGAGCGGCCAAAGACATTCTCTGTACGCATCACCAGAGAAAGTGTGGGGTGTATGTGCATGCCTGTGTGTGTGCGTGTACCTGTGTGTCTGGATGGGGGCTAGATCTCAGGGCCTGGGTACTCTCCCTGAGCTCTTCAGCACAAGGCTAGTGCTCTACCACGTTGAACCACAGCGCCACTTCTGGTTTTCTGGTGGTTCATTGGAGATGAGTCTCATGGACTCTCCTGCCTGGGCTGGCTTTGAACCACGATCCTCAGATCTCAGCCTCCTGAGTAGGATTACAGATGTGAGTCATTGGTGCCCTGGCTTGTATCGATTATTTTGAAAATATGTAGGTAGGGAGAAAACATCAAATAGTGCAAAGTCTAGTGTCTTTGGCTCCATGTCCAGTGTCTGTCCAGGGAGCCAATCGCTCTTTCGTGTGCCACCCCTAGGGACAGCACAGGCCACAAATTGTGTGTGTGTGTGTGTGTGTGTGTGTGTGTGTCTCTTTCCTATGTGAGGGTCTCGTGGCATTTTTACTCAATGCCATTATCTTGGAACTTATTCTGTAGCCGCTGGGCTGGATACAATTGTTCATGATGTCATAGAAAAAATGGCTAGTGGCCAAGGGGCCATCTCCTTGCTTGGGAAGGTCTTGGGGTGCACCGCAGGCTGGCACATGCTGTCCCACTGAGTCACACCCAGCCCCTTCCCCCACAGTGGCTTTTCTGTGTCAGCTTGTTAATGTGGAGGAATGGAACCCAGGGCTGCATGCAGGTTCAGCGAACACTCTGCCACTGAACCACATTCCCGGGACGTTGGCTTTTCGTGAGCGGTGGCTTCAGGTCCCCGGGTCCCACCTCTGTGCGGTTCCCAAAGCTTCCTTGGCAATCTGCAAAGCAGATGCGGCGTCCACATCTCCTGTCCACCTACAGGTTCTGTGCAGGTCCAAGAACAGCATTGTGAAGGAATGCTTCCTGGTGGCTGAGCTCCGGAGCCGGCGGCGCCCTCCAACGGTCAGCTGGGGGAATGCAAGTCAGGGCCATGTGTCTTTTTTTTAACCAGTCTTGGGGATTGAACTCAGGGCCTGGGTGCTGTCCCTAAGCTTATTTTGCTCAAAGCTAGTGCTCTACCACTTGAGCCATAGTGCCATTTTCAGCTTTTTTTTGGAGGTTTATTGGAGTTTTATAAAAGTCTCATGGACTTTCTTGCCTGGGTTGGCTTCAAACAACAATCCTCAGATCTCAGCCTCGTGAGTAGCTGGGATGACTGGCGTGCGCCACTGGCACCTGGCCTAGCCATACTTCGAAGCCATGTCCTCTTTCTTTTCTAGAAAGAATTGTGCTCTAACCAGCACTACTGAATACATCCTAAGTGTTGCACCAGTTCATTCATTTGTGTACAATCTCTACGGTGCATCTACAGTGTCAGGCGCTGTGCTGAGCTGGAGGGGGGAGGGGAAGGTTAGCCATAACAGGGCAGCCAAGGCTCCAGGAACTGGGAAGAGGCAGAAGGAGCCAGGCTCTGGAGGATCTGTTGAGCAAAGCATCCTGGGAAGATGTTTCTAGACAAAACCAACCTTGGGCTTCTTGGATGAGGACATCTGAAGTTTCCATCTAACAGGCAACACAGAGGTTGGGTGTGGTAGCCCACACTATAATTCCAGCACGATTATGAGTTTGAGGTCACACTAAGTGGTATAGGGAGAATCTTGTCTCAGAAAAAGGTGAAGAGGAGGAGGGCAAACAATAAATAGCAATGTGCCCTGAGTTTGGGCTTGAGGGGTGGCGCCTTGCCCCCTCTGTAACTGAGGTCTCCTCAGTGGCTTCTCTCACTCCGCAGGTGGGAACGCAGTTTAAGAACAGTCTGAGCAGCCTTCTAGAAATTCTCATCTCCAAGGAGCCTTCATACATACGCTGCATCAAGCCCAACGAGCGGAAAGAACCCAGTGAGTGCCCAGAACCCTCGCATAGGAAGTGGTGTCTCGGCCTGTGCCATACCCAGTGCTTGGCTGGTTATAGGAGCAGCCCAGCTGAGCCAGGCAGGGGTCCAAAGTAGGGGGAAGCAATGTGGCTTTCTCCCCAGGCAGCACACCAGCTTCCAGAATGGTCCTTGATTGGGGTATTTTCTTCTTCTTTTTTTGTTGGTCATGGGGCTTGAATTCTGGGCTTGGGCGCTGTCCCTCAGCTCTTCAGCTCAAGGCTAGCGCTTTACCACGAGCCACAGCACCACTTCCGGTTTTCTGGTGGTTAATTGGAGATAATAGTCTCATAGACATTCCTGCCCGGGCTGGCTTTGAACTGCAATCCTCAGATCTCAGCCTCCTGAGTAGCTTGGATGACAGGCGTGAGCCACCATTGCCCAGCTTTGGGGGTATTTTCTAAGCTCTTGCTATGGCCTGTAAGGAAACTGTTTAGCTAGAGGCTTCCAGAAGCCAGGCAGGTGCAGCAGATGAGTGAATAGGTGGGTGGAAGGAGACTGGGGAACACTGGGGAAGACACAGCCCATCCCAAAAGGCCAGCAATGCGGGGTTCTTCCTGTCCAGTGGCTGCCGCATGGAACTCTGGGCCCAATCTCATGATGTGTCAGGAGAAAACCCAAAGCTGGATTTTCCTGTGAACTTTCTCCAGCTCAAAAGCACAACTAGGACCCACGGGGGCCCCCTGTGCAGCCTCTGGGGGGTCCTTTCCTGTCCTCCCTCAGGCAAGTTTGACGACCTCCTCATACGACATCAGATCAAGTACCTGGGGCTGATGGAGCACCTGCGGGTGAGGAGGGCCGGCTTCGCCTACCGCCGCAAGTACGAGCACTTCCTGCAAAGGTACCCTCTGCTTTGCTGAGCACCTACTATGCGGAGACCTGGGATATGAAAAACAACAAGGGATCACTTAGGGAGCTTGGCTCAGAGCTATGAAAGCAAAGCAAAACCCACAAACCTTTGGGAGACCCCAAAAACGCAGCTTTCTTCTGTTTTAAATCCTACCTCGGGCTGCCTGCGGTGGTTGCCTGGGCCCCTGGGCTCTCAGCAGGGGTGGAGTGGTGGGGTCACAAGCAAGCTCTGGAGCCACACAGACTTGGGTAGGAACTCTCCCTGTGTTTCTTAGACTTGTCACTTATTTCCTGACCTGTAATGGAAGTTTCTGCACAGCCTGAATGTCTGCATTGGCAGGGGTGGGGTTTGAGGGGGATGCTTATGAGTATAGTGTACTTACCCCCCACACACACACATACACACACACTCATTGTACACAAATATTTCTTGTGTGATGTATGTGAATTTTTGCTCCTTAACATCATAAGATACTTGCTAAGATCTTCATAAGCATGTAGAGATCACTATTTTTTCTCCCCTTCCTACCTCCCCCACTCTCTTCCAGTACTGGGGCTCAAACTCAGGGCCACAGCTCTACTTCTGGCTTTTTGGTGGTTCTGGGGAGATCAGTCTTCTGGACTTTCCTGTCCAGTCTGGCTTTGAACTGTGATCCTCAGATTTCAGCCCACGGAGTAGCTGGGATTACAGGCGTGAGCCACTGGTGCTCTGTCATTTCTTTCTTGCTGAAAATATATTACTGAATTTGACGATCGTCATGGGCTGGGGAGTCTGAGATGCCATGGGGTGCTAAGGACACCCCCAAGGGGGTACCAGGGCGGCTTCTACTTGATTTTCTCCTCCCTGCCAGGTACAAGTCCTTGTGTCCGGAAACATGGCCGCACTGGCACGGGCCTCCGGGAGAGGGCGTGGAACGGCTGATCAAGTACATCGGCTACAAGCCGGAGGAGTACAAGCTGGGGAAGTAAGTGGCCAGGAACCAGCCAATGTGACCTCTTCCATGGCACCTTGCATCCAGAACTTGTGTGTGTTTGCAAGCAGCGGCCTCCGTCCACTGTTTAAACGTGGCTCCCATGGGTTAAAGGAAGAGAGACAGTCCCAAAGGAACTCGGCATTCCTAGCAAGCAGCCTGGGTAACTTCTGCCTCTGGGCCTCTAGATTCTTCCACTGTCCTTATGTATTGTGACCTCCCAGAGGTCATTCTAGAACTCATAGAATCTGACTTCAGCATTCCAGAAAATGGGTTTCTAGAACTTTGGGAATGTTTAAGATGGAGTTTATCACTATAAACCTGTAGGGAATCTTTGTACACCTTTAAAATGTCCAGGCACAATTCAGTGGGTCGATCAAGAAGCTGTAAGGGCTGGGACTGTGGCTCAAATGGAAAAGTGCCTGCCGAGCAATGGGAAGTCTTGAGTTCAAATCCCAGTCGGAAGTGTTGAGTCTGTGCCATTAGTCATTTTGGTTGGGGACTCATGGCTGCTGCTCTACTACTTGAGCCATGCCTCCAGGTTAATTTCCTTGCAGGAAGTACCCAAGCCTGGAAAGGATCCCTTCCCAGACAGCCAGTGTGAAGAATCTGTGCCTCTCGGTCTGCCCAGCTGGCTTTCTCTGAGGACTTGCACATGGCCTCGGTGGCCCGCTGGCCCCTTTCTATCTTTAGGGTCCCATCTTTGGTCCTGTTCTAACAAACTACTCATTCGATTGATTCTGGAGATGGGAAGGAGTCAGGCCCCAGGCATACCTTTGCCCTAGAAAGTGAGGTAGGATTGTGGTGCACTGCTGCCCCCCAGTGGCCATCCAGGGAGAGAATAAGCTGACCTCTGCTGGTTAGTGAGGTTTTTTTAAAAACTTAAGACCTGTTATCACTGTTAAACACCCGGGCAGTAGTTGCGCCTGTAATCCTAACTACTCAGGAAGCTGAGGTCTGAGGATCATGGTCCAAACCCAGAAGGGCAGGAGCTGGGGTTTGGGGGAAGAACAACTTTTTTTAAACCAACACAGGTGGTAACTGACCAATTAATAATTTAAAATGTTTTCTTTTCTAGAACTAAAATATTCATTCGCTTCCCAAGAACTCTGTTTGCTACTGAAGATGCCTTTGAATTTAGTAAACATCAATTAGGTATGATTTTAGACAAACCTGATTTCAGCAGGCTGAAATGAATAAGTTTAGCTTGGGTGTCATATAATTGGGAGACATATTCCATTTGGAAACCAGGCAGACAATGCCTCAGTACTGTGCATATTAGGACCCCTTGGGGTGCACAGCAGGACAGAAAACTGGGGGTATCCATCCCCCTTTCATCCAGCTTCTAAATTACCACTTGGGTGAACAGCTTTAAAGCCTGCAGCTAGGGTGTGTGTTGTGAATAGAGATGAAAAAGGTCAGATTCTGGGTGAGGTAGGGAGGGGTGCAAACAACAATCAGAACCACTGGAGGGGAGCCAGGTACCAGAGCTCATCCTTGTAATCCTAGCTACTCCAGAAGCTGAGATCTGAGGACGGCAGTTCAAAGCCAGCCCAGAAAGCAAAGTGTGCGAGACTCTCCTCTCCCGTTAACCGCCAAATAGCTGGAAGTGAAGCGGTGGCTCAGGTGGTAGGATACTGGCTTTGAGCAAAGAAGCGTAGGGACAGTGTCCAGGCCCTGAGTTCAAACTAAACTAAAGCCCGCCAGAGGGGACCTCTTCCCGGAACTGGGACCAGCCAGGGAAGTTGAGCAACAGGTGCAGTTGGTGTGTGCCATGTGCCCAGTGTACAGGAAGGCCTTTGCACACTGCCTCATTCTCAGAACAACACTACGGAGGGGGCGTTGCCACTGCTTTATATTCAGGGAAACGGAGGCATTGGTAGCTCGCCGAAGGCCCGTAAGCACCAGCCTGGGTGTGAAGGCCCAGGTTTACAACCAGACAGCCCCACTTTTGGCCTCTCCAGCAGTAGCTTCCCCACCACAAAGGGCCTGGCTGAGGCAAAGGGGCATGTCTAGCACCTGTGGCCTGCAGGGGGCAGAGTCAGCTCCAGGAGGATGCCTCTGCTGACCTTTGAGGCCCTCCGTGACCTTGACCTGGGATCGCATAGGGGTGAAGGCAGAAGATGGAGCAGCTGAGGTCACCCACCTCTGGGCTCACTGTCTGTGCGGCCTGGGGTGGCGTGGCATCGTCGCCACATGAGCGTGGGTACGGCTGGCCCAGGGGGCTGGCGATGCTGCCTGCCTCGGAGGAGGGGCCTGAGGATGAGCTGCAGGACAGACCCGGGGGAAGGAACCCGTGCGGGAGCACAGAGGAGAGCCACTCCCCAGAGCTGCTGCTTCATTTGCAGTTGCAAGGATCCAGGCCACGTACAGAGGCTGCCGGGCACGGAGGGAATACCTCAGGAAAAGGCGAGCAGGTAAGAGGCGCGGGTGGCCAGAGCGGCACCCTCCCTCCCTCTCTCCATTTGGGCCCCTCTCTCTCATCTGCCTGCCCTGGAAACTTTGGTAGGAAGCTGTTCTCATTGCTACCTGACCAGAGACACTGCCACTGGGGCCAGATTTTGTCCATTGGGTATATTTTATGTCCATGCTTTCTATGGGTACCAGTACTCAGGCTTAAACTCAGGGCTTTGAGTACTTGCTCTATTCCCCCGCCCAGGGCTGGTACTCTGCTGCTTTAACCATTCCCCCAGTCTTGCTTTTTGCTGGTAAACTGGAAGTGGAGTCTGACTTTCCTGCCAGAGGTTGGTTGGCCTTGAACTGTGATCCTCTATATTCCAACCTTCTGAGTAGCTAGAATTTCAGCTTAAGCCATCGATGCCCATGTGTGTTTCCACACTTCAGGAATATATATATTGGCCACTCCTGGGGCTTGAACTCAGGGCCTGGGCACTGTCCTGGAGCTGCTTTTGCTCAAGGCTAGCGCTCTACCACTTGAGCCACAGAGCCCCTTCTGGATTTTTGTTTCCATGGTACTGAGGAATCGAAGCCAGGGCTTCATGCATGCTAGCACTCTACCACTGAGCCACGTTCCCAGCCCGGTAATTTTTCTTCAAAGGCTTCAATCATCACCTTGCAGCCCCGTGTGTATCATTCTCAGGCAGGGTCCCCCTGTAACCCATCTCTTCAAATTTGTTCTCGGGCCCTGTTTTTCTCCTGTCCTGCCATCTACAGATCATCACTGAACAATATATTCTCCTACTTTACAAGAGGGCAAGAGCAAATATCTTAGGACTTTTGGGTCTCTCATGTGGCTCAGAAGCAGCTCTAGGCAGCATGCAAATGAATGGGCACAAATGTGTTGCAATAAAACTTTATTTGTATAAACAGGTAGGCACTGTTTGCTGGTTCCTGAGTAATCTATGTATAGCTCTCTCAGTTCTGTGGGTGAAATTTGGGGCTGGCTGCCGGTGGCTCACACTGTAATACTATCTATACAGGAGACTGAGATCTGAAGATGGCGGTTCAAAGCCAGTCCAGCCAAAAAAGTTATCTCCAGTTCTCCAAAGCAAAGACTCTTATCTCCAATTACAACTAGAAAACCTCCATGGCTCAAAGTAGTCCAGCAAGCATTTTGAGCAAAGAGCTCAGGGACAGCACCAGGCCCTGAGTTTAAGCCCCATGACCACCACCACCAACAACAAAAAAGAAATTTGGGTTGCCTGTTTCTGTAATAGACAATGCAACTCTGGAGAAGAAAGGCATTTAAGAATCGGAATAACCACAGATTGGGGTGTGGTTCACATGGTAGGGCACCTGCGTAGCAAACGCAAGGCTGCAAGTTCAAACCCCAGTACCATCAAAAAGAATGGAAATAATCAAAACATCTGAAAGCCCTTAAAAATGAGAAGACAGGCCCGGACCTAATAGTTTTGTTTTGTTTTTTTTTGGGTCCGGTCATGGGGCCTGGGCGCTGTCCCTCAGCTCTTCAGCTCAAGGCTAGCGCTCTACCACTTGAGCCACAGCGCCACTTCCAGCTTTTTTCTTTATGCTTATGTGGTGCTGGGGAATCGAACCCAGGGCCTCATGTATGCAAGGCAAGCGCTCTACCACTGAGCCACCTTCCCAGCCCCAGGACCTAATAGTTTTGCGTGTCCCAATTTATGCATTCTCTAGTCCCTGAAAAAGGTCTTGGGAACCCCTGTGGAGTAACTCGCAGCTTCCCAGGGTGCCTTGCGTTCCGTCTCCCTGGTTGGGCTGTCTGAGCACCCCAGGTACAACCTGTAGCCATGCACCTGGCCTCGCGTGCACCACCAGCTGTGTGCTGAGTGTAGATGGAGTCTTCTGGAAAAGCCTCCTGTGTTTCCATACACTAGCACTCACCTCCTAATTCCAGCAGTGGACTTTTTTTCCAGCCACCACACTGGAAGCCTACTGGCGGGGAGCCCTGGCTCGGAGGGAGATCAAGAGGAGAAGGTGGGCCGTGCAGGTGGTAAGAAGGTAGGATGGGGAGCCGGGCAGGAGGGGCTGGCATGGGTGGAGGTATGCCCTGCAGGATGCTGCCCCCTCTCTTTGCCCTGCTGTACCCATTCTGGGGTTCACAACTCTATGTTTGTGATTTCCCTTGGCCAGTTCAAAGCCTAGAGCCTCCTAGAGCTGGATAGGCAGTGTGAGGCCATGTCAGAAGTGGGTGGGAGATGTCAGGCCACATCAGTAGTTCGCATGAAGTGTTCTGACCCAGGGCACCGGTGCTGGGGAGCCAGGCCAGGGCTCCCAGGTGGCTGGGTTTTCAAGGCAAGCTGAGATATGGCTCTCACGGCATACCTCTGCTTGGGCTGATGGGTTTTCTTTTTCAACTGAAAATGACGCCAAGGTAGTTAACACAAGCGGCCATGCAGGTGAAGCAGAACCTTCCTGATGTGTTTCTGTAAACTCTCATTTCCCGATGGGTGAGAGGACACGAGTGTGAGGAAAAGGGCCGGAAGTGGAGCTGCACTCTTTGCTTTTGAGGTTCATCAAGGGATTCATCCACCGTGACAAACCGCTCGGTCCTGACAACGAGGAGTTTATCATGTTCATGCGCAAGAATTACATCTTGAAGCTGCGGTACCACGTCCCGACAAGCGTGCTGGACAAGAGCTGGCTGCGGCCCCCGGGCAGCCTGGAGAGCGTAAGGTTGCATGGCGGCCTGTGCGCCCTGCCCCATATGGGCCTGTGAGGGGGGCACTCCGGACACCCCATCAAAGGCTCTGGGAATCCCACCAAGAAGCCAGTCCCTCAGGCGACCCCAAGCCATGCTCTCGTTTGAGCACTGGTTTGCTCAGCCTAGCGTAACCCCAGCTCCTGGGAGGCTAAGGCAGGAGGACCAGGGCTTTGAGGATGGGCTTTAAGGTGAGACCCTGTCTCAAAGGAAAGAAAAAAGCTCCAGTCAGACTGGAAGGCGAGCTGCTCTGACTGTAAAATCCTCATGTTGTACATGGCTGTGCCCAGGCATGCGCGGGGACGGGTGGGGAAGAAGCGTGTTCTCCACACAGGCTTCCAATCTGCTCCGGACCATGTGCGTGAGGAACCTGGTTCGCAAGTACTGCCGCGGGCTGACAGCTGAGCGGAAAGCCATGGTAGGGACGCAGCAGGGGCAAGGGCCGGGCCTGCAATCACAGACCAAGTTCACAAGTGTGTGTGCACCAATCCACCAATGAGCCAGGGTCGGCTGCCCCAGGAGCTGTAGGTGAGGTCGGCAGCTCTGTGCTGTTACCATGGAGACAGAGCGGATGCAGGCCCCTTGCTGGGGACGGACCATTCCTTGCAGATCTTCTCTGCAACAGGTAGATGCTGACAGGAAAAGCCCTTTCGGCTTTGTGGGCCAGCCACACATCCGTTGTCGTGACTGAGCTCTACGGCTGGCGCTGAGCCAGTGTGGGGTGAATTAACCATGTGCTGGTGCTCCCAGAAACTTCCCTCACAAACAGGCAACATGCAACCTGTGAGTTGTAGTGCCGTCCCCTGACCGCTCTCAGGCAGTCAGCTCAAGGATGGAGGTCTGCCAAGCCCAGGGTCCACCAGTCCTTAAAAGTATTTTGGCCAAGAATGTGTTCTGACTTCTGCGCCAAAGCATTACAAGGTTTCTATGGTGAACCAGACAAGGGTGCAGAATTGCGGGCCTCACACACCTCGGTCCCCTGACCGTCTCAGGGCTACCGTATTTTTGTTTTTTTCACTTTCAAACTGTATTGCCAGATGCAGCAAAAGGTGGTTACAAGCGACATCTTTGGGGGAAAGAAGGAAGGCTACGCAGAAAGTTTAAAGCAACCCTTCGCCAGCAGTCGCATAGGTAAGTTCATTGTCTTCCAGTGTATACGCAGCTTCCGGTCTCTCAAACGCTGGGGGAGGCGTTTGGCTCTGCAGCACTTGCGGCAGCTTCAGCCTGGAGGGGCACAGGTGACCTCCTCTCAGTGCTATTTAATGATAACTCACGGGTGTTGTGGTTCCCTTGACAGATGAAGCAGACATCAATCCTAAAGTGCTTCAACTCATTGGCAGTGAGAGAATCCAGGTACAGGGTGTATGTGTGTGTGTGTCCTTGGCCTCCGGCTGAACCCCTCAAGGTGGAGAGCAACGTTTGCTGTGTGCAGTGTCTGTGCCACTCTGGGAGTTAGCGACGATGATGGGTGACTGTCAGACTCAAAGAACAGCAAGAGATGATTGTCAGTCACCCTAAAAAAAAAAAAAAAAACACATTTGCTTTTCTGTGGAATTGAGAGATGAAGCCAATGGGTTCTTCCTGCAACACTCCCAAGTTGGTGAGGGGTAGTGGGTGAACAAACTGGTGCCCACAGTGACTGGGAGATTCTGGGGGCCTCCGGTCCTGTGTGGATCCGGGCTATGGGGTGGGGTGCTTAAGAGGCAGCTGGCAACAAATGGCTGTCCTCCCGCGCCCAAGGGCCACACTGGCTGGTGGCACATCACCTAGTCCCGAGTGGGTTCTCCTCTGCTGGCTTCTCAGAGCAGGCCTGCTGGAGGCAGGTGGACTTCAGGAAGTCCAGGGAAGCAAAATCTCCCCCACAGAGAGCCCAGGGACAGGGGAGAAGGGTCCGGGGCTTAGCACAGCAGGAGGCTCCCAAGTGGCCCTCCTCCTCGTGGTGACCCTGGCCTCCTTGCAGTACGCTGTGCCGGTCATCAAGTATGACAGGAAAGGCTTCAAGGCCCGGCAGAGGCAACTCATCCTCACCCAGAAAGCGGCTTACGTGGTTGAACTTGCCAAGATCAAACAGAAAATAGACTACTCAGCCCTCAAAGGTAAGAGGCAGGCAGCCTCAGGACCGATCCTGCCCGCCCAGGGTCGGCGTGGCCACTGGGCCCTGAGTTTCTGTTAACATCAAGCTGCCTGCTTCCCAGACACTAACTCGATCTGTCTCCAGGCGTCTCCACCAGCAATCTGAGTGATGGGATCTTAGTCATTCACGTCTTCCCTGAGGACCACAAGCAAAAGGTAACTGTGGGGCCCGTGTCCCACTGTCTGGGAGTTTTTCTTCACATCGCCAGTTCTGACCACGCCGTCTCTGCCTCTCCCCAGGGAGACGCCGTGCTACAGTGTGAGCACGTGTTTGAAGCAGTCACCAAACTCACCATGCTGCTCAAGGACGATGTCGTCAAGGTGGTGCAAGGCAGGTGAGTGGCTTTATCGGCTTGGGGTTCAAACGCTGGCAGGGCCTGCAGAGTCAGTTCTACCCGTGCCTGCCTGCCTGCCGCCAGCGAGGGGAGAGGAAGGCTCCCTTGCTTTTCCTGAAAAATCACCTACTTCCCAGTGTTCACCACTGCCCTCTGGAAGCCACAGTTCTCATCTCCAAAGGCGCCACTCATGTTCTAGGGGGCTCTATGCTGGGCAGGGGAGAACTGGTGTGCACCTGCCTACAGACTGAGCAATAAAAGGATGTAAAAGGAAAGCACGTAGCCCATAAGAAATGAATACCCTTATTTAATTCAAACTTAAAAGTGCTGGCTGCCTTTTCTATTTCTCAGCAAGCAAGCAGGGGGCGTGGAGCTCAGGCCCAGGCAGACATCCTGTTCTCAGACCCAACAGCAGCTTCCGTGCTGCTTGTCCCAAGGGTGTACGGCCTGATAGGCGACTAGGGATGGGAGAGAAGATTGTGGAATGAGCTGTCTCTCTGCTGGGGGAGGGGGGAAGGAATGTTAGCATGAGCAGTGCAGATCATGCCTTAAATGGGCTCCTAGAACTGAATGTCTGTGTCAGAGTGATCTGAGAATGCCCGGAAGTATGAAAGTTACCCCCTTGCTTTTCTTTTGATTACATACATATGTAGTAAAGCACAAATTCTATGTGTGTGTATCCATATACACACACATGAATATATAGACCAAAAGCTGCAGCAAGAAGTAATTTGTCACTGTCTTCAGTTTACAGTTTTACATCAGTCCTGGGAAAGAAGGTACGATCGTTTTCGACACTGGGCCAGAAGAACAAGTGTATAAAGACAAAAACGGGCAGTTAACAGTGGTGAGTGGCTGTGGGGGCAGCAGCAAGGTAAGGAAGAGTGCGGGAGTCTTCAATGTCCTTTGTCACGGGATGACAAAGATCCTCCACCTTGTCCCCACATTGCAACCCACGTGCCTGGGGCTTGCCCTTAGTCATGAAGAACCCCAGGCCATGACCCTGCCTGGGCATCTGGTCCCTCCAGGTGGTGTGCACAGATGAGTTTTCAGCCAGTACCAGAAGTGACCTGTTCAAAAGCAGAGGGGGCTGAAATCCTTCAGATATATTTTATGCCATGACTGGGTGCAGTGGTAGGCGGCTGTAATCCCAGCTACTCAGGAGGTTGAGATGAGAGCACTGAGAGTTCAGGGCCGACCCAGGCAGATCCAAGTCTCATCTGAATTTATATACATTTAACCCATACATAAAAGTATTTTTTTTAAACTATGTAACATAATGGTCTCTCCTTCAGGAGCAAGTTAAACTGACGGTATTGAATTTTCTGTTGACAAGTTAGTCTTAAAAATGGGACGGCGACAAGGTCTGCCTACCTCTGCCTCAGGCTGAACATGCTGTGGGGGCTCTTCCCCAGGTGTCAGTGCGGAGGAAGTCTTGAGGGAGGATGGCGCCTGACCGCTACCGTCACCAGCTGTGCTCCAGCTGAGCAAGGGCCCAGAAAGGAGGACTCGTGAAGCCACACCTTCAAGGAAGAATGCCAGCAGCACCTGGAAAAGTCATCTGAGCCCAGCATCCCTGTTAAAATGCTCCTCTGGGAGCCGGCCTCCAGCGTGCTCGGGTGGGTGGATGTCCCCAACAGGCCTGCGCTCCATGGACCAATGCATGTCATTATAGGGTGGGCGGCGGATTCTCCATTGAGACATGACAAAGTACTATCTGGGGCCACACAGTAGGTAAAGAGCTCATAAAGCTGCAACACTTCAATGCTGCTTTAAATAAACAACTTACACATTTCAAGGAATTGAGCCCGGCCCCTACTGTGGCTGTCACTAACCAGGGGTCACTGCCCCTCCATACTCCAGTGTTCAGACACTGTAGGAAAATGGTGTATCACTTCACCACCCTGAAGTCATAGGTGGTGAAGCCAGGGGTGGGGATCAGCCCTGCATGTCTGAAAAGACCCCAAGACAGACTGAAACACAGCATGGTAAAACTTTTATTTTACATATGCCCACAATGCTTGTACGAGACACACTGACTACTTTTAAAACAACAGGTTTTTTTTTGTGGCATGGAGTGACAAAGGTTCATGGAAGTGTGACCGACACTTCACACAGTCCAGGGAGGGTGGGTGTTCACACACATTTGGTAAGGGCCAGAACCTGCACCAAAGCCAACCAGCTCGTGACCACGGGAAGAATACAGGCTGCAGTCACAACTTGGTGACTTGTTCTGAACATAAAACTTGATTACCATGACCAACAGCTGTTCCAGCCTCTTAATTGTAAGCTATTACACTGTAATAAAACCTGACTCTTTACTAAATTTTAGGCCAGTGTTTTACCTGGATCATTCACAAATGTGACTTTCACCCTTCATGCCAGCCTAAGACAAATCAGTTTCTTATGGTCTATTAACAATCCTATTCACCGTAGCCTATGCCGCTCTAACCCTGGGGGAGGGACATACAACTAGAGGTGCAGTGTTAGGGGAGAGCACTGGCAGGAACACCAGGTCCTAAGGCTCAGAAGCTGAAACAAATGTGATTGTTCTACAAACTTACTTTGCACACAAACATTTAAAAATAACTCATACACAATGGCTTTCCATTCCTACAGAAAACATCAGAACTGACGTTTACGTGAACGTTCTAAAAAAGTTTAACCCAAGGGGTAGGGTGGGCATTTAAAACTTCGACAATATAAAATGTTTACGAAACAACGTTTGTAAGTTCCCTTTCCTTATCACTATATTAAAACCCAAATGGATTAATAAGTTCCCCACATAACAGTTTAAAAAGCGTCTCCCCAATACGTGGTTTTGGGTGGAAGGCATGATTGATTGAAAGTTTTATTGTAGCTTTGCTGCTGGATACAAAAGAAAGGCATACCACTGTCACCGGAAGGGTTGCTGCATACAAACTCCAAGCCAAAAACAAAAAAAAAAAGTTCCAAAATAGAACCTCATTTTTTGGAATACACCTGTCAAAGGCTGCCCATGTTAATACCTTTGGTATAAAACGACAACAAGTCCCTGGCCAAGCAGACCAGATCCATCCATTACCGGACACACATTCACATCTCCCTGTGCTACTTTACCTAGTCGTCTACTCAACCGTCCCATCGGCCATGACTCACTCTGTTCCCACACAGACACAGAAGAATCTGGGAGGTAGGTAACTGAGAAGGTCCATCTCACACGAGCACCGTGCACAGCCAGGCTCGGCGAGGGCCACCTGGGCCCTGCCAGCATCTACCCCGCCAACAATCTCACACATCCCTTAAACAGACACGAATACAATCGGGACCCATGGGTATCTATCTGCACACACACACACAGCCTAGTCACTGCCGACTGCTGAAACTCAGACAAAGACGAGAGGGGATCAGAGAGGGCGGGGCTTACAGCAGCTAAGCGGCCCCGAGATAGGCAAGCTCCCTCTGAGCTGGTGCCGGTCAGGCTCCCAGGCTGGGAGGAAGCATCTGATTGCTGACCAAAGAGGCAAGGCGCCCACTTCTGCAGGGGAAGGAGTGGATCCTGGGCCGCTCAGCCTGCGAGGTGACCCTTGGACCCTCGGGAATGCAGTGGGTCACGAACAGCGAGTAGAAGGAGCAGGAGGAGAGCAGGACAACGCACTGCCAGGGAAAGCTTTGCTCCTTGCCAATGTGGTTCCAGCGCGTCCCAGACAAAGGGCAGCCACGGTGGCAAAAGGTCTGCTCCTGAAGACTAGACCCAGAGCAACACTAAGGGATATTAAGAGACGAGACACTCCACTGCCATGCGCGGTGGCTGTTCATTGGAACACACAGGGACCAGGGCCCCGTCTGCCGAGGCTGGAAGGTCACAGGACAGGAGGCTCCCACCGCTCCCGTCGGCCCACTGCAGAGCCCCACTCAGAAGAGAAACCCTAACAGGGAGTCAACACCCACAAAAATAAATACTGCCAACAAAAGTCCTCACACACACACTCACATTCGGACTTTTTCTGGGAGAACCAAGAAAGCCTGGCTCCTCGGATCCTCACAAAAAGTGGAGACCTGAGCCACAGCTTGTTCAACAGGAGGGGTGTGTACACCTGGGCAAGACAGAATCAACCCACCTTGTCCAGACATAACAAAATCATCATCCGGCATGTTACAAAAGTGGCTCCAGGGAAGGTGGAAGGTGCCGGAAGCCTGCATGGGAGCTGAGTGGGGCAGGATGGGGGGGGGAGGCCCGCGGCACGGGACATGGGGGAGGAAGGTGGGGAGGAGGGTGCCTGGTCTGCCAGCCTGCTCACTGGTGGAGATGGGCCCTGTCGTCCGGGCGCTTGATGTGGATCCGCCGCACGCGCTCGATCCGCTCTCGCTCCCGTTCCTCGTCCTCATCCAGGTGATGGGAGCGCCCAGCTGCCCCGCCGGTGGCCTCCAGGAGTGCATTGTCAGGTCCCCGGCCGTCCTGGGCCTCATACAGCAAAATATTCAGGGTCTCCTCATAAATCCGGGCTTCGGGGAACTCCACCTGTGCCCCCACAGGGGGGGAGGGCAGTGGGTTAGTGTGATTTACCAGGGCCCGCCCACTCCTGAGCCCGCACACAGCTCAGCAGGGCCCTGAGGACCGAGGAAGATGCTATCATTTTCAACACAGGTATTTTCCACAATACTTACATGTGGTAAATGCAGCAGAGACCAAAGAGGCATAGTAAGACAAGGCTCCCCGACCCCGTCCCCTGCCTGTCCCCTGCCTGTCCCCCCCCTTCCCTGCCCACCCCAGCCAGTGTCTCTTCTTACAGATAACACATTTTATCCTGAATCCCATGCATGTAAGTATTTGTACATATACACTACACATTTCAGAAAACAAAAGCTGAGGCAGGAGGGTCAGAGGTTCGAATCTAGTTTGGGCTGCCTAGTAGCCCTGGGCCTCTGCATGTGTCCCAGGCGTAAGCTGGAGAGCACTCCCCGATTAGACTGGACAATGCATAGCAGTTCATGTTGATGGGTGGTGTGTCGCCACTGGCAGGGCTACAGGTGTGCAAAGCACGCAGGCTTTGAACACAGACACTGAAACCACCTTCTTTCTGAGCAGGCATGCGCTGGGGGCCCTCAGGAAATGGCACGAGCCTTCCTTGGCAAATCACTGTTTGCCTGTCCTCCTTGTGGAGCCCTGGATGGAAGGAGGGCGGCGCACATGTGTTCCAGGTATGACACCCGGATCAGACTCGGCCTTCCAGGGCGCGCTTCTCTTAGACGCCAGGAGGGAGAGAGGGAGCACTCTCATCTTCCTCACTAGAGCCACCAGGAGAGACCACGCCGCAGCAATGAGGGATCTGAGAAACTGCGTCCGCCATTCGGCACTGCCAGCATGGTGGGCAGACACGAGGGCAGCGAGAACCCCTCAAGTCTCGCATGGCTGGAGGAGCCAATGGTGTCTAAGCACACACACACAGTGGAGGGCAACTCCTGCTTTTCTGTCCTCTACATTCTTGCACCCCCAGCTCAGCCCAAGCCACCCCACAGCAGCAAGCAGAGCCGGAAGGAGTGAAACGTTCCTTTTGGATGAGAAGGCTCCTGGTCTCAGCAGGTGGGGAGAACTCCTGCTTTTTCCTGAGCCTCGTGCTGGGCCACCTCAGAGATAGGTTAAGGAAGCCAAAGAATCCATAGCTATAGCTACAGCCCTAATTTGCTGGCCATACAACAAGAGGAGGGAGCCCAGGAAGTTGGGAAATACTGAGAAGACTGTGGGGAAAGGGAGCTTGAGGGGCTGAGTGCCTAGACTTGGGCCAGCTGTGGATCTGCGCTACTCCGAAGGGTACTGACCAATGGGGTCAGCAACTGCATGGCTCCAGATGCTGCCCCAGAGCATGGCACGCAGGTGGGACATGTCTGAAAGTTTTCAAAACTGGAGTTTTGTCACTGGAGTCAAAACCCACAGAAAGGCTGGCCGGAACATCAGCCTAAACCCAGCTGGGTCAACTGCCAGCAAAGAAACCAAAAAATGCAGCCGGGAGCCAGTGGCTCACACCTGTCATCCTAGCTACTCAGGAAGCTGAGATCTGAGGATCACAGTTTAAAGCCAGACCAGGCAGGAAAGTCCGTGAGACTCATCTCTAATACAGCACTACAAAATTGGGAAGTGGCACTGTGGCTCAAGTGGTAGAGCGCTTGCCTTGAGCTGAAGAGTGCAGGGACAGCGCCCAGAGTTCAAGCTCCATGACCGACCGAAAAAAAAAGCCAACTTTTTCCTTAGGAAGAGACCATGACTGAGAGCATCAAGATGTCAGGACACAGTTCAAAACCAGTCAGCTCATGAAGAACAAAAATCCCAACCCCTGTGCACAAAGCTAGTCAACAAATGTGTGCTAATGCCAAGCTCACACTGAGGCTAGGGTCCCCAAAACATTCCAGCAAGCAATACAGAGCAGACACAACAATGTAAAGAACTACACGAACATTCTAGAACACACGCTCACTCACCTGACAGGAAGGGCTCAGTGAGGGTGGTGAGGATGAAGCAGAGGTGACAGAAACAATTCCATCTCAACAAAAGTAAGGACAGGCCACTAACACACAAGTCAGGCTCCACTGTCATCTATTCTGAGAACCCGAGTTTCAAGAACCAAATGGATAGTGCATGCGTTGAAGACCTGCTTCAACTTTAATTCTGGCTATCCACACCCTTTCCAACTTAACCACAAAAGACAAATTATGCCTAAAGGATTTAGTAAAGCACTTGGGATGTTGTTTCAAGAAAGATGTCAGCTCTGCAAGAAACTGAACTCAAGCAGTGACTTGAGCACAGTTCCCAGAGGTTTGGGGTAGAGACAGGGGCAGCTGTCCATCTCTGACACCAACCGCATGGATCGTCATGGGCAGGAAAGGAGAAGGCATGAGGAGGGCTGGCCGCCCAGCCTGGCCCTACCACTCGCCGGTTTCACAGACCCAAGTGCAGACTTGTTCTGGAAGCCATCTGCTCATTCATACACAGCTGAGGTCATGCCATGCCATCTCTAGATTTCTTTGCTCCTTATTAAGCTCTAAAGATTAGGAACCTTGATTTTTTGTTGTTGTTGTTGGTTGTGGGGCTTGAACTCTGGGCCTGGGAGCTATCCCTCGGCAATTCAGCTCAAGGACAGCGTTCTACCACTTGAGCCACAGTGCCACTTCTGGTTTTCTGAGTGGTTTATTGGAGACAAGAGTCTCATGGACTTTCCTGCCTGGGCTGGCCTTGAACCTCAATCTTCAGATCTCAGCCTCCTGAGTAGCTAGCATTATAAGTGTGGGGCCACCGGTGCCTGGGGAAATCTTGATAGTTTAACTTAGTCAACACGATGATTATCCTTTTTATATCCAAGGGAAGGTACAACCCAAGTGTATTTTAAAAATGATCATGTCAAGATGGAGTCTAGCGCTGTGAAGGTAGCTCAGTGGTAGAGTGCATGCCTTGCAAGCATGAGGCCCTGGGTTCGATTCCTCAGCACCACATAAACAGAAAAAGCCGGAAGTGGCACTGTGGCTCCAGTGGTAGAGTGCTAGCCTTGAGCTGAAGAGCTGAGGGACAGGGCCCAGACCCAGAGTTCAGGCCTCATGACCGGCAAAAAAAAAAAAAGATGGAGTCTAGTTACAGGAGGAACCCACATCCTTAAAAAACTTCACAGGAGACAAGAGGCATGATGCACCCTGCTAGTGAGGCACAGGCAATTCTGGCTCCCTGCTGTTTTTGAAACAAGAAAGAACCTCAGTGCTTTCCCTTTCTTGGCTACCCTTAGAAACAATCTCTGCCGAGCCGGGTGCCAATGGTTCACGCCTGTAATCCTAGCTACTCTGGAAGCTGAGATCTGAGGATCATGGTTCAAAGCCAGCTCCTGCAGGAAACTCCATGAGACTCTTATCTCCAATAAACCACTAGAAAACCAGAAGTGGTGCTATGGCTCAAGCAGTAGAGTGCTCACCTTGAGCTGAAGAACGCAACAGCGCCTAAACCCAGTTCAAGCCCCACGACCGACAAAAGAAAAAGAAAAAGAAACCAAGTCTGCCGTTTAGGCTATCTCCTGAATAGGAGTTCTCAAGTCAGCACTGTGCTGGAGAAGGGAAGTGAACACAGACTGAGCAAGAGCCACTGTGAGCTGGTGGCCACTGAAACTAGATGACCGAACGTGGAGATCACTGTCACTGTCTGTGTCTAATTCTGTACATGATTCACATTTTCAATAATATCCGGGGAAAAGGCCTTTCTCTTGGTCCTCTGCACTTCTTTCATTTGTGCCTTGCTTGAGACCGGCTCAGAATCCCACAGAACTATGTTAACCCCCAAAGCTGCACACACAATAGTAACCTGAGCAGGTGAGTGACAGCTGGCATGCGGGTGACTAGAGGCATGGCAATCCACTTGTGACACAACTGCTCTATGTCACAATACTCAGGTTTCTCTTAGATAAGCGGAGAAAGAAATGACTGGGTATATAGTATAGTATAACAAACAGAGGAGAGGGGGAGGAGAGGGGGAAGGGGAAAGAGGACAAGAGGAAGGGATGGATAGGAAGGGAAAGGAAAGGGAAGGGGTGTCACTCATAGCTCAAGGGCAGAAGGCCTAAAGAGAAGACAAGGGCTCTTCAAGTGGAAGATCTGAAGTTCAAATAACAGCAGAGCAGATCTCTCGCAGTACTCTGCTTTGCAGAATGGCTTGCCAGTGGAAGTAAAGGGAGAGGTCAAGAGTGCTGATTTGAGCCAGACACTGGTAGTTCATACCTGTAATGTTATCTACTTAGGAGGCTGAGATCTGAGGATTCTAGTTCAAAGCCAGCCCAGGCAGGAAATTCCATGAGACACTTATCTCCAATTAAACTAACAAAAAGCCAGAAGTAGAGCTATGGCTCAAGTAGCAAAGTGCTAGTTTTGAGCACAAAAGCTTACCAGCACCCAGGCCCTGAGTTCAAGCCCCAGGACTGGCACTAAAAAAAAAAAAGTGCAGGTTTAGAGAGGATGACATGAAGGAAAACCCAGAGCCCAGTTCATCCAGGGAGTTGAATGTGGCTGGAAGGAAGCAAGAGGGCACATACACAGGCCCTGGGATCGGAGGGCAGCTCTTGGTAGCGGGCAAGAGCAGGACAGACAGGCGGCAAGTATGTGGTAAGTGGCGACTAGTAAGTCAAGATCTTGGAGGGCATGGGATGGACCAGCGCTGTCTCCTGGAGGAGGAGGAGGAGGAGGAGAAACCAGCGCTGTCAGAATGACCAGAGGAAGACAACACTGCAGCTGAACACATACAGGCACAAGGCTAAATCTCAGACCGCATGTACAGAAAAGTGACCGGGCCGTGGCATGGCTGTCTCCACTTGCTGGGCATCAGGAGGGAACACCAGACCCTTCTCCAAGACCTACAGTGACTACTTTCCAGGGTCTCACGTGAGCAAGCACAAGGCCAGGAAAGCATTTTTAGGGCTTCCTCATGAGTGGGAAGAGGCTGTGTGCAGACCTGCAGAGTGGCCACTAGGCACCGCGCTCTCCGGCCTCTTACCTTGGTCTGCTTCTTCTCGGTGGCATAGACAATGGAAGTACAACAGACTTCGGCGATCTTGCGGCCCTGACCATAAAAAGACCAGCAGCAGATCTCATCCCCGATGACGTCCTTTATGAACAGGACCCTTCCGTTGAAGCGCAGAGACAGCTTATCAAACAGTTCAATGTTTTTCAACATATTGTCGTCAGAATTGCTGCAAAAAGAGCATCCCATGAAGTGACAGCAGCTGTGCACGAAACACCCTACCAGGTTCCCTCTCTCCTGTCTCACTTCCGCTCGTGCTAAAGCCAAGAGAAAGGCACTTTCCTTCTTCGCTCCAAGAAGGAGAATGGGAGGCCAGAAAAATCCAGCAACTGTCCAAGGCCTGGGTCTCAGAACAGACAGCTCCGGCCCGCAAGCTTGTGCTCCTAACCAGCGTGCTTGAGCCCCATTACACTTGCCCTACCCAGCTGGAGGCAAGATGCTGGGATGCAGGGCCTCCGGGCACAGGACCAGTGGTGGGAATCACTCCCCCCCCCCCCACGGGGCAGAACCGTGCTGCTCAAGGGACACTTTAGATTACAGGTCTTCAACTACTTCATTACCTCACTCGTCCATCCCTGCAGCCCCTCCTGCTCCCAATCTCCAACCCTGACTCACAGCCCCATGCTCCCAGGGGATCCACAAGGTATGTACATATCTCCAGATGCTGTGGTGGCATTGTGCAATGGAGCAGCAACTTTGGAAAAGAGTTTGACAAGCCCACAGTGACTAAACTCAATTATCATGGGATCCAGAAAAATCTCACTCCTAGCTAAGACAAATGGAAAGACATGCACACCAATCTTGCACACATACATGCATAGCGGCACTTTTCAAAATAGCTAAAGGCAGCCAGGCACCAGTGGCTCACACCTATAATCCTAGCTACTCAGGAGGCTGAGATCTGAGGATCACGGCTCAAAGCCAGCCCGGGAAGAAAAGACCCTGTGAGACACTTATCTCCAATGAACCACTCCAAAACCAGAAGTGGCACTATGGCTCAAGTGGTAGAGTATACACCTTGAGCTTAGGATCTCAGGGACTGCTCCCAGAGTTCAAGCCGAAAGAAAGAAAGAAAGAAAGAAAGAAAGAAAGAAAGAAAGAAAGAAAGAAAGAAAGAAAGAAAGAAAGAAAGAAAGAAAGAAAGAAAGAAAGAGAAAGAAAGAAAGAGAAAGAAAGGAAGGAAGGAAGGAAGGAAGGAAAAGAAAGAAAGGAAGGAAGAAAGGAAGGAAGGGAGAGAAAGGAAGGAAGAAAGAAAAAGAGAAAGAGAGAGAGAGAAAGAGAAAGATAGAGGGGAAGGAAGGAGAGGGAGGGAGGGAGGGGAAGGAAGGAAGGAGGGAGGGAGGGGAAGGAGGGAAGGAGGGAAGGAAGGAAGGAAGGAAGGAAGGAAGGAAGGAAGGAAGGAAGGAAAGAAAGAAAAGACAATAGCTAAAGGCAGAAATTACTCATGGCTACAAAAGCGTAAGCAAAATGTGGACGAGCCACACAGTGGAGTATTATTTGGCCATAAAAAAGGAATAAAGTTCTGATGGGTGCCACAACATGAATGGACCCTGGGGAATAGTATGCTAAGTAAAGGAGACAGGTCACAAGAGGGCATACGTTATGCGATTCCATTCATGTGGAATGTCCACAAAATACGTATCTACAGAGAAAATGCAGATTAATGCCTACCCAAGGCTTGTGGGGCAAGTGGCTGCTAACGGGCAAAGAGTTTCTTTTGGTGGTGATGAAAATATTCCAAAATTACAAAGAAGCGATGGTTGTATAACTCTGTCACTGGTTTAGAAGAGCAGGTTCTAGAGCACTGTGGCCTACAAGTTCTAGCTACCTCTCTGTGTGCCTAGTCCGGAGGTGCTGAAGGGAACTTACTTGCAGGCTGGGCCTGGCTGGTGTGAGTGTGTGATATGGTTTTCCTAGCTAGCCAGTGAGGCCTGTGTGGTGGCTGACTCCTTACCTGGTATACGAGTATTTGTTGTTACTTCTGTTGTAGAGCAACTTCACGGCTGGCTGTGGGTTGTTATAAAAAAAAAAAAAAAAAGTTACTCAGCGTGCAGGTGCAATGAGCTGAGGGTTTTCCAGAGTGCTGGGGCCCTGCCAAGAGCAGAGGTGGCCATGGCTACAAGCACAGCTTGCTGGCGGGGGAGGGGAGGGGAGGGAGGCGGCCAGGCCCAAGGGCAACGTGACGGGCGCTGTCGTTTCCTGCTCAGGCCTGGCGGTGGCAGTTTCACATGCTTCTGTCTCAAAACTCACATCTCTGTGTCTGGTAGCAAAGGAAACCCCACAGGCGCCTCCGACATACCTTGTTGGAGGTGGCTATAAGTTTTTGTTCCTCTTTGGATGAAGTGATGACAGGAACCTTGCAGAATGGCTCGTAAGTGTCTTTGTTCTGCTGGAACAAAACATACTTTCAGCCAGGCGCCAATGGCTCATGCCTGTAATCCTAGCTATTCAGGAGGCTGAGATCTGAGGATTGCAGTTCAAAGCCAGCCCGGACAGTAAAGTTTTATCTCCAATAAACCACTAGAAAATGGGAAGTGGTGCTGTGACTCAAGGGTAGAGCACTAGCCTTGAGCTGAAGAGCTGAGGGACAGTGCCCAGGCCCAGAGTTCAAGCCCCACAACACACACACACAAACACACACTTTCAGCCTAGGTGGTCTGCCTTGTGAGGTGTGCTGGGGGGAGAGAGGGAGCTTTTCAGCCAGCCTGGCAGACAACAGGCTTGCAAGAAAGGTGGGGCAGTCACGGCAGGAGGAGCATGCTTGGTGTCTAGGGCCACTCCACACCAGAGGCTCAGCAAGCGCTAACAATGATGATGCAGCTCTCCACGCAAGAAGCCACTAAAACTAAGCTCTCAATGTAGAGAGAAGCCTAGTTTCACCAAGGGCTCCTATAAGCCCTATGACCACAGAGGAATAAGGAAGAAGAATGAGACAGGTGAGCTCAGCAGACAAAAAGCATCAAACTAGGAGGCTACCTGTTTGTCAGTGGCTCATACCTATAATCCTAGCTACTCAAGTGGCTGAGATCTGGAGGATCAAGGTTTGAGACTAGCCAGGGTAGAAAAGTCTGAAGACTGTCTCCAAAATAACTAGCAAAAATCTGAGCTGAGCTGGGCATTGGTGGCTCAGACCCGTAATCCTAGCTATTCAGGAGGCTGAGATCTGGTTCTGAGATCACGGTTCAAAACCAGTGTAGTCAGGGATGTCTGTGAGACTCATCTCCAGATAACTACTAAAAAATAAAAAAGCCAGAAGTGGAGCTGTGGCTCAAGTAACAGAGTGCTAGGCAAAAAAATTCAAGGACAGTGCTGGGGCCCTGAGTTTAAGCCCCAGGACCAGCACAGAAAAAAAGCAGAGCTGAAGGCATGACGCAAGGGGGAGACTGCCAAGAGAGCACGAGCAGGCTCAGAGTTCAAACCCTTACATGACAACATCATCATCGTCAACAAACACGGGCTTGGAGGCTGGAAAGCTGATGCAGGCTGAGTGCTGACTGAGGGGATGGACAGCAGACACCCACGCTATGGGCAGGGAGGAGGCTGCAGAGTCCTCAGTGAAAGCTCCTGTGCAGTGGGGTACAGGCAAAGAGCAGAGCCTGGCTTCCCGTCAGTGAGACCCATCCATCCATCCCCTCTCTCCATGGGCCCCCGCCTCTCCCTTTCCTGGAGTGGCTTGAACAGCAGAGGACAGGGCCAAGTCACTATTCTGGAAAGCGGGGGGGGGGGGTGTTGGTTAAATGAACATCTGTTCTGGCTCTTCCTCTACTCGCGCTCCAGGGGGCCAGTCACATGCTTCCGCCCCACCCCAGCCCCCAGAAGGCTGTGGGGCATTTCTTGGGAGCAGGGTCTGGCCAGGTAGCCTGGCTGGCCTGAGACTTGAAATTGTTCTGCCTCCACCTCCCAAGAAGCTGGACAGCAGTGTGTGCCATCCCGTCCAGACTTCTGGTAGGCAGGATCTATCCACTAAAAATGGGCTTACAGGTTCAGACATGTGGGATCTGCAGTGAGAAAGCTGGCCTACCACCCAACCACAACACCCATGGGACAACAAGGACTGCTCACACACCGCAGTACACCAATCTTACGACTCAGGAGAAGCTGACAGAAGCCAGCACAAAGAACAGAAAAAGTCCAAGAAGAGTCAGACTGAGAGGGGCAGCAAGTAAACCTCACATCCTTCCAGCTGACAGAGAGGGAGGACACAAAGAGGGTAGACAGGTAGCCTCTGAAACAACTGTAGCTTTCAGAGAGCAAGACAGCTCTTCGAAAGTAGAAATGTAATAGCAAAAATGAAATATGACCCAGAAGGGTTGAAAAGATAAAACTCAGAAAGCAGAAGACAAAGGCTGCGTGAGAGAAGCTGGAATCTGCTCTAGAGGCAGATGGAGGTCTTACAGAAATAGAACCTGGTGGAGAAGAAGCCATCCAATGTGAGACTGACTCTCTTACTGAGAACAGAGGGACTGAATTTGGGGGGGCATATGCTTAGAAATCAAGCAAATGAAATCGCCCCAGGCTGAACTGCCAACCAGTTGTACAATCATAATGCAAACTGATACAGCTTAACTGGGGGGAAGAGACAAGAATGCAAACTCATCTGTTCACAGTAATGCCAGTAGACAACATCAGAAATGGGAGAGTCAGTAAACAGCAGCACAAGCAGCTCTGAGGAAATCACAGTAAAGTGGCTACAAGATCCTGCGTGAGTGAGGTTGGTTGGGAGGGGTGTGGTGGTGTTCCTGCGGCACCATCTGACTCCCTGCAGACATAACTTAAAGGATGAGGGGAAGGCTGCAACCCTAGATTAGATTTATGGTGGTCCACAGTTCGGCAAAGGCCAGTGCCTCCAGGAGCTTGACACAATGGGCACTGCTCCAGCTGAGGGCCGGACACAGCCCCGTGTGCCTGGGGAAGGCACAATCGAGTACCACACATATACAAACTGAGGCTCTGCAGCAGCCAAAGGGACTTTCTGGTTCTGCGCTGTGTGGGAGCCTGGCCCACAGTGAGCGGCTGCAGGTGACGTTTAGAGGCACGGCCTTGCAGGACTGCACTGTCACCAGACCTGACCCCAGTGGTCTCCATGTGGGTCCAGCTGAGGAGAGCTGTCTGCACCGTCCGCAGGGAGCCATTACTCTGCCCCAAGTCTCCGCCCCGTGAGTCACTCATCAAGGACTTCGACATCCACAGTAGAGGGCCCAACAACACGGGGGGCTGAGGACAGCAGCAGTCAGGAGCTTTTCTAAAAGCCTTCAGTACCCCTCAACCCACAGTGTCCCAGCAGAGGTAGACTAGGGCACCCCCTGGATAAAATGGGTTCAATGCCACATCCCAGCAAGACAGAAAGAGTGCCACCCACTGCATTCGGACTCTCCAGTAGTACAGTTATTCTTAGGGAGTCCCTACTTTGGGGTTACTCTGGCGGGAAGACAGTCTCCAGGACTGCGAATGTGAGGTACGCTCACTCGCGCTTTGCAAAGAGGAACGAGGAGAGGAAGTGTGCGTGGTGGAGGAAAGGGGTGCCCACTTGTAGCGCCGCCTGGCACTCTTCCAGCAGGCCCTGGACGAGGTAATACTTGGCTTCTGCGAGCAGCTCCTCGATCTCCCGGCGACTCTCGGGCAGCGGCACGGCCCCGTCCCGAAGGTAGTTGAGTATGGTCCCGAAGTGCTTCCCGCAGCGGTCAATGAGGATCCAGCCTGCGGGGGAAGGAGCTAGTTACACGGTGCCCTCTGTGGGGGCGCGTGGTGCGCCCGGGGCTGTCTCCTTACTCACCCCTCCTTCCAGGGGAGAGCAGGTGCACCCCCATATTGTCTATGTCCAGACCAGACCCATAGCCTACAGGTCCTGGGGGGCTGGACACACCACCACGTCCAGCCCCACCCCCAGGCCTAAAAGCATGTCCGCAGTGTCCTTAAACACCCCCAGGGGAAAGGCTATGCCCCCAAAAGCATACTGCCATGCTCACCTTCACAGCTGAGAAGCAGGGAGCCCAGCCTTGTCCTCAGACTGCCACCTCAGGCTCCCCAGTACCAGCACACGACATCACCTGCCTGTTCACTTCCTGCCTAGTGGCAGTGTGAAGACCAAAAACCCTGCCACCCAGCCCTTTGTCAACATGGGAAGGCGGGACCTGGTTTATTAGATGCAGGAAAATATCCTGGCTGCTGGCCAGAAGCAGTCAAGGAGAGGGGTCAGGGGACTCATCTCCTCTGTCTCCCCTGGTCTATGGTGCCTGAACTAGACTGCAGAAGGGTTTCAATTCCTCTCCCACAATGCAATTCACCAGATAGGGTATTTGGAGGAGCCAGGCCTGGGAAGAGGCAGAGGGGGAGTGAAGACCAGCAACCTCAACAGAAAATGGGAAGATGGGCCGAGAATGTGGCTTGGTGGTACAGTGTTTGCCTAGCATGCACAAAGCCCTGGGTTCGATTCCTCAGTACCACATACACAGAAAAAGCCCGAAGTGGCACTTTCCTTTAAGTGGTAGAGTGCTAACCTTGAGCAAAGGAAGCTCAGGGACAGTGCCCAGACCCTGAGTTCAAGCTCCAGGACTGGTGGGGGAAAAAAAAAGAAAGAAAATGGAAAGTTGGACATAGAAGTCGAGCAGATGGGCAAGCCTCGACCTTCCTGACCAGCACAGTGCCCTGGGCGAGGAGCTCCAGTGTCTCCTGTGACCCCTTGCTTGCTCTTTTCTTCCCTGACTCCCAACTTGAAGAAGGGGGGACTTGGGCACGCCTCGGAGCCCTGGGCCGCTGGGTCAAGAGCAGCACATGTACCTTCTTCATGTTCCTAGTCGCAGCCTGGCCACCTCTCCCTGCCCCGTCGTGCTCCATCGCCAGTCCTCACTGCCTGGCCTTTCCGGCTTTCTCCTTTACAGCAATCACAATGGGGTTGCTAAGAGGCCATGTGTCCGTTCTTCTCTGAGTCTGTGTGGCCTTCCTCTGAGCACTACCCCTGCCCTCCTGCTCTGGCTTCCTGAGCCCTGCAGGAAGAAGAATGCTGGACTGGGCGAGTCCAGCCCTGGCTGCACGGAAGGAAGAGGCCTTCACAGGCCTGGGAGATCACAGTACCCTGACGATGACCTCCAGATGTTCTCCTTCCTGGCTGCTTTCCACATCTGACACAATGAAATCCAGACTTAACATCTTGCACAACTCAGCTGCCCACCGAAGCAGCATGCAGGAGTGAGTGAGTCTGGACTGAGGAGGCTGGCTGGGGAGCATGCCCTGCCCCCAGGGATGTCCCCCACCCCCCAACCACGAGTGGCTGGATAGGAATGTGGGCCAGGGCTGTCTGAATTCTGACATTCCAAGCAATGGCAGAAACTCAGATTTTCTTTTTTTTCCTCTTTTTTTTTTGGTCGTTCGTGGGGCCTGAACTCTGGGACTGGGCGCTGTACCGCAGCTCTTCAGCTCAAGGCTAGTGCTCTACCACTTGAGCCACAGAGCCACTTACAGCTTTTTCTGCTTATGTGGTGCTGAGGAATTGATCCCAGGGCCTCATGCATGCACCTTCCAGCCTGAAACTCAAGATTTTCTGTGAATCTCATCTTTATAGGATGGTAAGCTGATTTAAAATTTCACCAATCCATCATAGAGCCACTAAAATGCACATGCAGGTTGAATTTGGCCTTCAGACCACAGCGTGCAGCCTGGGCTCCCCAGAGGGTGCTGAGGGGTGAAAAGACAGTTGTTTGCTTCCCTGCTGTGCTTTTGAGGGAGGATCATTTCTGCAGTTCAGCAAATAAAAGGGTCTCACAGAAACTCAATGATATGCCCAAGTCGGGGAGGGCAGGACCACCAGCAATAAGAAACCTAGGCTTTAAGAAAAATGGTAACTAGCTGGGCACCAGTGGCTCACACCTGTCATCCTAGCTACTCAGGAGGCTGAGATCTGATGACCGCGGTTCAAAGCCAGCCCAGGCAGGAAAGTCTGGAAGACTTTCATCTCCAATTAACCACCAGAAAACCGGAAGTAGTGCTGTGGCTCAAGCTCTTCAGCTCAAGGCAGGTGCCCAGGCCCAGAGTTCAAGCCCCATGACCTACAAAGAAAGAAAAAGAAAAATGGTGACCGAGTCACCTCTGGTCCATGTCCTGCCTTTGGTACAGGCAGCAGTCAAGCTGGGGGAGGGGGTGGGGACTCCAGGCAACAGCCCAGAGTCTTCATAAAGGAATAGGAGGATGGTGACACTGGGCTCCAGCTCAAGAATGTGTTGAGGAAATGCTTGTGGTGAAGGAATCATACTTTGGACAAATAAGGGCAAAGACGCAGGCCACTCTCTCCATGAGGTTTCACTTATTCAGAAGTTAAAATATTTTGGTTGCTTTCAAAGCAGGAATCTATCCCTGAGAAACTGCACGACGTCTGCATGTAATGTAGGACAGCAACAGAACGTCAAGCGCTCCATGCTGGGGGGGGGGGGGGGACCTCCCACTGCCAGGGAGCCCTCAGCCATTGCAGGTCAGGCACAGGACTCCAGCAGCACGGCAGAGCCTGAGAGCTGGGGCCCGTGTTGACAACTAGCTCTGCCACATACTTGCACCTGCAGCAGTACTTTACTCGACCTCTCTGTCCAGCAGCCTCCAAAATGGCCTCAAGAAAGGGCTGACACAAAGCTAGAAGGTGAGTGCACAGATGGCACATAGCACCAGGCCAGTCTTGGGCATCTCACCATTCCTGCTGAGAACAGAGCAGGAGTGGGGGCTTCAGGGGCGAAGGGTGCTCTGGGGGTTGGACCGCTAGGCTCACCTCCTGCCAGCCATGCAAACACACCACTTATTTCCTCTCTGGGGATGTCCAGATGTCCTTTTCCTTCTATCCTCGTTCCAGGGGGCATCTGCAGGCCTTTCCTTGTCATACTAAGTTATTTATAACTGTTGTATGAACTTGCCTGATCTTAAAGGTGACCTGAAATACTCATTAAGAACGCAAATCTGAGGAATCTGCCTCATTCCTGAGTCTCAGTCTCTAGGTCGGGATCTCTGACCCAAGACTGTAGACATTTTACACCAGATAGCTTTGTCATGAGGGATTTCCACAGGTGATGTAGCAGCACTCCTGGACTCTTAATGCTCACCCCCAAGTTATAACAACCAAAAATATCTTTAGACACTATCAACTGTTCTCTAGGTGAGAGAGAGGGGGGGGAAGAAAAGGGGGGCCCCTGCACATGTTTATAATCCTAGCTACTCAGGAGGCTGAGATCTGAGGATCACAGTTTGAAGGCAAGTCCAAGACAGTAAGTCGCTGAGAGATTCAACAACCAATTAGCTAGCAAAGAAGCTAGACTGAAGTGCTAAGAGTACCAGCACCAGTCAGTGAGAAAGCTGAGAGCCTGTGGCCCTCAGTTCTAGCCCTGGTACTGGCAAAAAAAAAAAAAAAAAAAATCAGACTGGGAAAATGTATCTGCAACACAGAACCACGAAGAAATAGGATCCAGACTGTGCACTTCTGCAAAGAAGAAGCAAATAAAGGAAATGTACAAACAAAATGCCGCCAAGCAGTTAAAGATGAGACCCAAACCAATAACCATAAAAAGATGCTCAGCACATTAGAAATTAGGGAGCAAGACATAAAGCCAGACCATATGATTTTGTTGTCATTACTGTTGCTTTGAAAGTTTTAGCAAGGATTTATTTTAGTATAGCAGAAAAAGTAGGGAGAAAATAAAAGTCCAGAGTATGACAGGGTAACCAAAGGCTTGGCAATAGTTAAAAAAAACTTGACAGCACCCAATACTAACAAAAACCTAGACCACTGTGTGCATGTAAGCTGACGAAGGGGAAGGTGGGGAGGGGGGTCCTGGAAGATGCTGTGCCCCGGTGGCCTGTTGGGAATAAACCAGTGCAGCATTCAGGAAGTAAGAGGCTGGAGGTAAAACCTTAATGCTGCACCCCAAGGTGGCAGGGTGGGACCTGGTCCCAAGTCTCCTCAATTAACGAAGTAAAATAGGGTCTGCTGTGTGCACCATGGTGCGGCAAAGGTTGGGAATCAGTGCCTTAGAGAAACTCACATGGGTACAGGGAAGGCATTCAGGAAGGTTAGCATTCCCAATAGGCCCACTGGAAACTACCTATCTGGCCAGGAATCATGCATGACTCCCTCAGAGGCAACGTGCTTCTAGAATGGAATGCTACCAAGCTAGAGCTATGTATTCATGGTTTCAAGTCACAAGCACCATGCTAAATAAGCAAAGAATGCACACAATATAGAACTACTTACGAAATGTTCAAAGACACAGCACCAAGACATGGTTCAGGGAAACACATAGCTGTGGCAGACAATACCTAGAAAGGTCCACCTTGGAGGTCCCTCGTCCTGGCTGCATGCTGCACACCTGGCAAGCTCTTAAGGACCAGAGGCGCCTGCACACCTGCCTCTCTGGGCTGAGACGCAGGCCCTAGTATCGAAGTCTTTGAGTGACAAGATCACTCATAACCCCAAGTAAGACTAGGAGACACCTCTGGAAGGGACAGAGGCAACAAGCAAGGTACAAGATAGGCCGTGCTTTATGCCTGCTCTGAGCCGTTTGAGCGGAGTGTGCTCATCATAAAAAGAATGACACTTCTTTGATCTAGCTTACGTACTCTCTAATTTTGAAAGGATTATCCAGCAACCTGAAACCATGCAAGGGGGAGAAGCTACAGGAAAAACTCCAAGCCAGTGCTGAAGGGGATTTAATTCTTATTTCAAACAATCCATGGGACTAACCATCATGGTTTTTGTTGTTGTTTTTGTCAGTCATGGGGCCTGAACTCTAGGCCTGGGAACTGTCCCTCAGTTCTTCAGCTCAAGACTAGCACTCTACCACTTGAGCCACAGCACCACTTCCAGCTTTTTCTGCTTATGCGGTGCTGAGGAATCGAACCCAGGGCCTCATGCATGCAAGGCAAGCGCTCTACCACTGAGCCACCTTCCCTGTCCCCTACCCACGATGTTGACAGGGGTTGGGTACAAATTCTAGCATTACCCACCCTTGGTGGTTCACGCCTGACATCCTAGCTACTCAGCAGGCTGAGATCTGAGGATTGTGGTTTGAAGCCGGCTCAGGCAGAAAGCTAGGAGTGGAGGTAGGGGTCAAGTGGTAGAGCAAAAAAGCTTGAGCAAAAACAGCTCAAGGATAGAGCCCAGGGCCTGAATTCAAGCCCCAGTACTGGTGTGTATGCACACACAAACACACACTGCTAGCACTGGGGAGGAGTCCGGAAGGCCTGCTCACTGCCAGCATGTCCTCAGCAGAATGTGGACCCGCAATCCCTCCTCTGAAGGGCACAGTGACACCCCTTCTCATCCTGCTCTCCTCAGGAGGCTTTTCCTCCTGGCTGCCCTGCCCCAGGCAGGATGACCAGGTCATTAACAGCTGAGAGCATGGTCACGTGCTTTCTAGTATCTTCCTTCAACCTCCTAACTCCACGAGGTTTTCTCCTTCACCACTGAGAAAAGAGGGACAAAGAAGAAAACCGAGGCTGGCCCATTAGGCTGCCACATGCTCAGGTGATGCGCGGCCCCAGAGCCCATAGCAAAGTTTGGGCAGCGGACGGCTGAGAGGCAGTGAGTGCTGGGGTCAGCAGCTTCACGTTTTCTAGCCCTATGGTGTGGTCTGGACACCGGATTGCTGAAGTCTTGCTCCTCAGTGGAATGGCAGTCAGCTTCCACCACATGTGGGGGAAGGATTACATGAATGCTGTATCATGAGCAGTATCATAGTGAGAAAGGAGGGGGTGGGGGCTCGAGTGGCAGTACACACATAACACACTCAGCGTGTCAGTGACCACACTGATTTCCCAGAGCCCGCTGCCAGTGGCACTGGGCAAAGGCCATACTTCAGCAGGGGCTTAGAACAGGCGCAGTCCGGCTGGTGCGCATGCGTACTCTTTGTCCAGCTGAGTGGACATCTATGGTATTAGGCCTTTCTGGAAAAGGCCTCCACTTAGCCTTCAAAGCCACTCAGCTGCTCTTCCGGAACCCCACCCCTCAGGACTGGGTAGGGAGGAAGAAAAACCCCAACAATCCCGGGATCTCAGATAGTATCTGCTTCCTTCTGTGGCTAGGGCACCATTGTCTTGATTTCCACAAATCCCCCTGGGCAATGCGGGTGCACGGCAAAGGGGAGCCTCCCACTCACAAACCACTGACCATGCTCAACCACTGCCTGACCCCAACCCAAGTTCACGGGGCACCAGGCAGCAGGGCCTCCGCCTGCAGTCCAGCCTGCTCCGGAACTCAGAGGGAAATGCCCTAACTAGCCGGCAGTGCAGACTAAAGAGTGCAACGTGGCACTCCAGGGCCGCGAGCCCACCACCTAAGTCAAAACTTGCCACTCTCTCAAGTGCACATCCCCTGGAAGGTGGGGCCCAAGCAATGCAGGCCAAGGAATGAAGGACAGGGATGTTTACACTTCACCAGGTAAAGGTGGAGCCCCGCCCCGCCCAGTGCTCTGAGACGATTCCAGGTGCAGGGAGGTGGTTCCACAAGAGCACTTTAACCAACTGTTTGCCTTCTACAAATGCGACTTTCCACCGGAAGAGTGTGTGTACACAAGTGCGTGCGTGCGTGCATACACATACACACATACACACAGGCACTGAATAGACGAACGCCAACTACTACATACCAATGGCTTCACGGAGTGGGATCAGTGGACCCGTTCTCCACACCAGAAAAATGTGACCTTGAGCACTAAGCTACTTGGTTAGGCCCATTACTAACTAAATGAGGAGCCAGGGCTCAAATTCAGGCTTACTAGTCTTTGTCAGGACCCCGTGCTGGGGGGGGGGGGGGGAGGAAGGCCAGAGAAACGTGTCTCCCAGGCCCGAGCATCACTCTGAAGTCAGGAACTAAAAGGACACTATAGGACACCTAGCCTCACCTCCATTTTAGAAAGGCAGGCTGGGGCCTGAAGGAAGGAAGTACTTTCTCAAAGTCACACAGCAAATCAACTAACAGGTCCCCAGTCCAGGTAAGTCCTACTCATCATCAGGCCCAGACCCCAACCTCACTTCCTTCACAAGCACTCCCAGATGGGACCTAGTCTCCCTGGGACTTTCGGGGCTCCTCGCCCACCAAGAGGACAGGGAGCACCAGTCACACCTGTTCATCTTCTGAGCAGACAAGTGGGTCCTGGGTGTGCCAGGTGGTGGAGGATGTGCAGCCAAGCACCCTGCCGTGGCGGTGGGGCGACTTACCTTCGCTGTCGGTGAGCACCTCCATGCGCCCGCTAAACATGGCCTTGAGCATGGTGTCCTGCTTGGTGAGCGTCTGCATGGTGGTGTAGTACAGGGCTCCGCCCACGTTCAGCTTCACGTACTTGGAGCTGGGACTGGCGCCCTTGAAGGAGGTGGTGCGGGTAGCAGCCGCCGGCACGGCTGAGCTCACCACGCTTTCTCCTGACATCTCTTCCTGCCAGGGGAGAAGATAGGGTCACCAGAGGGAGCCTGGCTGGAACACCTCCTGTCAGCCTGTGGGCTCCATTTGGCCCCCAGGGTTGTTTGCTCAGTTCATGGCATTTAAAAATTAAAAGTTTGCTTCTCATGCTGAAAACGCAGGGGGGAAAAAAATCTGAACTTCTGATGTCAGAGACCACATAAGCTTGGACGACAACAACAGTGGGAGCCAGGGGATCGGCTGCCCCAAGGAGGGGCAGGGTAACCCCCGCTAGACGGTCTCACCTCACCTAGACAGGCACTAAGAGTTTGCTGTGAATTCTTGAGTTGTAAGAACTTCCTTTCTGTCCAGTGCCAGAATAAACCGACCACCCTGGCTACCTCCATCAGCAAAGTACTTCCCAGGTCCCTCTGTCTCCCCTCACGGCCACATACCATGAAAACTCAAGGCACCCTCTTTGTACTAAACTACAGATGAAAATACACTTTTATAATGTGAATGCAATCTAGCTCCCACTCCCAACGCTTCCTAAAGGGCAGTTTTCTATGCACAAACAGAAACTCTTAGAAGTTCTCAAAAAAATAAGAAATTCTAAGACACCAGAGCCTGTGACAATCTGACAGCAATGCTACACAGAGCCAGGTGCTGGTGGCTCATGCCTGTCATCCTAGCTACTCTGGAAGATGAGATCTGAGGATCACAATTTGAAGCCAAGCTGGGCAGGAATGTCTGTGAGACTCTTATCTCCAATTAACTACCAAAAATCCAGAAGTAGAAGCTGTGGGTCAGGTAGAGCACTAGCTTTGGACAAAAAAGCTCAGGGACAGTGCCCACCCAGGCCCTAAATTCAAGCCCTAGGACCAGCACAAAAGAAAGGATAGCAAGAGACACTGAGAGAAACACAAACACACACACACACACACACACACACACACACACACATAGAGCAGACAGACACAAATGCCTGAGCTAAGCAGGCATGGGAAAGTAGACTGGCACTTGCATACGTACTCCAAGAAAAAGCTTTTTAGACTGATTCTGTGAAGTTCACAGCAGGAGATGTCTGGGGCCTAGCACTGAGAAAGCAAAAAGCACCTCTGATGGTCAAGGGCAAGCCCAGCCTTTCCCAAGAACAGGAACAATTTCCCAGGACTTCGCCATCAGACAAGGCAGCTCTGGGGCTGTGTTGCCACAAGACAAAAACAAGACCATCCCACAATCGTGTCCGAACACATACCAAAAAACATGAACGGTATCCAAAACGCGAGAGCACACAACCACACCCCTTACGCTGGCTAATGCGAGGCTCAGCTGCCTCTGCCAATGATGGCTTCACCTGTCTGTCCTTCTACCTTCCAGACAGGAAGCACAGACCAGAGCCACAGAATCAGCCACCAGCACAGCAGACAGCACAGAACAAAGCCCCTCCCTCCAAGCCCACCCAGCATCTGGAATCCTTTCCCAGATGCCTTCCTTCCCTCCCTCCACGCAATCCAGAGGCACACCCAACAGAATTGGCGTGCAGCAGGTGATTTCAGACGAGCCGGCACTCACAGCACAGAACATTACTTTCTGTGTGTGGGTTTTCTGAGACAAGGTTTCATTGGATAGCCCAGGCTGACCTCAAAAATTCTGGTCCTCGTGCCTCAAAGTGTTTCCAATGTTGGAGGTGAAGGTGTGCACCACTAACGCCCAGCTAGTTTTTTTTTAAACTATTCTGGAAAATGACTTTGATGCCTTTCTATCTTTTCCAGAAAGATTTCCCATAGCAAAGGTGACGTATTTATGACTGGTAAGGCAAGAACGGCACTGCCGGCGGGGGAGGGGCTGACACAGTGATGACCTGTGACAGCCAAGTAAGAGTGAGCCATGGGCAGCTCCAGGCACCTCCCAGTTCCACAGTCCGTGGGCAGGCCTCCCGCCCGCCAGCCCCCAGGGAGGCCTGGAATCCCTTGCGTCAGGACCCCTTGGTGTGAAAGAGAAGGAAATATTTTCTCAAGAAATTGTAGCTGCTGCTCAAGTGAAAACACCCAACAAGGTGTGCTGGCAAAGGCTCCAGCTGAGCTGCCTCAGCAGAGCAGACAGCCCACCCAGGTGAGCTTATGGGGTGACAGAAATGGCCGCTAGGAAGAAACCTAGAGGGAAAAAGAGTTTTATCGTCCTGTGATTGGGGTTTTTTGAACCTCTTTTTTTGGTGGGGGGGCACGCTAAAGGAAATAGATCCAAAAATGAAAATACTTTTCTAGCATCCTTTGCAAACCTAAATCTACATCATTTATATGTTCATAGGACATGGCCCATCATCTTGTATGGAGTCATAAAACAGACAAAGAAAGACTCAACATTTACTGCACATGCATATTTAGAGCTGTCAAAACCTTCATGAAGTGTCCTTTAACTGTACAGCTGGATGCATGTGGGTCCCGCTCTGGTCATGGCAGAGATCGCTGCTACCAGCTCCAGAAGCCATCCCCCCTTCATAAGTACCACCACATGTGACTGGGAAATCCAAACGATGCTAGTACTTACTGTCACTTTCATATTGGGGATTCAGATACCAGGTCCCAGACAGATGTGGTGGTGCACACCTGTAATTCCAATACTCAAGAGGTTGAGCTACACAGCCAGACCTATCTCAAAACAACAACAAAAGGTACCCCGGCGGCACAAAGAATGCTAGTCAGTGATAAGCTAGTCCAGAATCCCTCATGCTTGGCGTATTTAGAACCATGATTTGTAAATAAGAAAAGTCTCGCCGGGCACTGGTGCTCACGCCTGTAATCCTAGCTACTCAGGAGGCTGAGATCTGAGGATCTTGGTTCAAAGCCAGCCCGGGCAGGAGAGACCGTGAGACTCCTATCTCCAATAAACCACCAGAAAACCGGAAGTGGCGCTGTAGCTCAAGTGGTAGAGCGCTCACCTTGAGCTGAAGAGCTGAGGGACAGCGCCCAGGCCCAGAGTTCAAGCCCCACGACCGACAAAAAAAAAAAAAAAGTCCCATCTCAGGCCAGGTGCCGGTGGCTCACGCCTGTAATCCTAGTTACTTATGAGGCTGAGATCTGAGGATTGCAGTTCAGAACCAGTCCAAGCAGGAAAGTCCATGAGACTCCTTATCTCCAATAAACCACCAGAAAATGGGAAGTGGTGGTGTGGCTCAAGTGACAGAATGCTAACCTTGAGCTGAAGAGCTGAGAGACAGTGCCCAGGCCCATGACCAAAAAAAAAAAGAAAACAATTCTTTCTTTTTTGGGGTCAGTTGTGGGGCTTGAACTCAGGACCCGAGCACTGTCTCTGAGTTTTTTTGCTCAAGGCTAGTTCTCCAACACTTTGAGCTACAGCTGCATTTCCAGTTTTCTGATGGTTGATTGGAGATAAGTCTCACAGACTTCCTTATCCAAGCTGGCTTTGAATTGCAGTCCTCAGATCTCAGTCTCCTGAGTAGCTAGGATGCAGGTGTGAGCCACAAGCACCCAGCCCATCTCCTTTCTTTAAAAAAAAAAAATACAAAAAGAGAGCTACACTTGTAATCCTAGCTACTCAGGAAACTAAGATCTGAGTATTATGGTTCAAAGCCAGCCTATGCGGGAATGTTTGTGAGACTCTTACCTTCAAGTAACCACCAAAAAGCCAGAAATGGAGCTGTGACTCAGGAGATAGAGCACTAGTCTTGAGCAGAAAAGCTGAGAGACAGTTGCTAGGCCCTGAGTTCAAGTACCATTACATACTGAGTTCAAGTACCAGTACATACATACGTATGCATGCATACACATACATATACACATACCCCACAAAAAGTCCTGAGAAAAGAAGCAATGTGTAGTTAAGGACTGGGGAGTCAGGCCTGTATTTAAGCCCCCAACTCTGCCACTTAATAGCTTGGGGGTGTGGGTGAGATACCTGAATCTAGTCCTATCTATCAGCTGGGGCAATGCCCTCCTATCCCTGCCGTGAAGGAGACTAGAGGAAGTACTACTCAGTTTAGCCCATGGCTCTGAGTAAACACTCAGACAGGAAACACTCATTTATTATTTGGAATACTCTCAAAATCTCCAATTAGCTTCTCTTTGGAGACTGTTCCCAGCTCTAATGACAGACTGAAGACTGACTTACTACAAGACAAAGGCAGAAGTCTTCCTGATCTGGCCCATGACTCCAGATCAGCACAGCAAAAACCCAAATACCAGGAGGGTGCTCTTGGGGAGCTGGCAGTGGCTGATCAAGTTCTTCAGTGCAGCCAGGCATTGGTGACTCACACCTGTACCCCTAGCTACTTAGAAGGCTGAGAACTGAAGATAGAGGTTCAAAGTCATCCTGAGCAGGAAAGTCTGTAAGATTCATCTCCACTACACCACCAAACAAAAAACAGGACTGGAGGTGTGGTTCAAGCGGTAGAGTGCCAGCCTGAGCACACAAAAAAACTCAGGGACAGAGTCCAAGTCCTGAGTTCAAACCTCAAGACTGGCACGAAACAAACAAGTCCCTTAGCCCGAGCTACAGTGAACTGAGGACACAAAGCAGTGGGACTATCATTCCACTCTCCCTAGGAGGCCCTCCTGCAGTTCCCAGGGATCCTGTTACCCCAATGCCCTTCCAAAGGTTTGATTTCATTATTCATGAGGCTAAGAGAGAGAGGGGGAACAAGAGTGCAAACTTGGTTGCAAGAAACAGCGAACTCACTAATACTTAAGATATTGCTGTTGGAGTCAATCAGTTTATTCCAATAAGATAGGCAAACCAAGGCTCATCTCTTGCCTGTCTGCCCTCAGTACTGCTACTGCTGATTCAAAACAACTGTCTACCAGGTCTCACAATGGAGTCACTAGAGGGAATTTTAAAAACTACTGATGTTGCCAGGTGCCAGTGGCGTGAGCCTATACTCCTAGTTAGTCAGGACTGAGGTCTGCAGGATCATGGTTCTAAGTGAGCTCAAGCAGCAAAGTGTCTGTTAAACTCCATCTCCAATTAACCAGGGAAAAAACCCAAACATCGGGAGGTACAGCTCAAGTGGTTGAGAGTAAAAAGCAAGCTGTGACCAGCAAGCTGAGCAAATGCAAAACCCTAAGCTCATGTCCAGTATCAGCAAAATAAAAAATTGAAATAATACTGATATCCAAAGCTGAACACCAGTGGTTCACTCCTATAATCCTAGCTACTCAAGAGGCTTAGATCTGGAGGACTAAGGTTCAAAGCTTGTCTGAGCAGAGAAGTCTTTGAGACTCCATCTTCAAATTATCCAGCAAGCCGGGCACTGGTGGCTCATGCCTGTAACCCTAGCTACTCAGAAGGCTGAGAGCTGAGAATCACATTTGGAAGCCAACCTGGATAGGAAAGTCTATAAAAGTTTTATCTCCAGTTAATCACCAGAAAACTAGAAGTGGCACTGTGGCTCAAAGTGGTAGTCAGAGCTGGCCTTGAACAAAAGAACTCAGGGGCAGTACCAAGTTCAAGCCCCAAGGCTAACAAAAAAAAATACAGCAAAAAAGCTGGACTAGAGGCATGGTTCAAAGGTTTAAGTGCCAAAAGCAAGCTGGACAAGTATGAAGTCCTGTGTTCAAACCTTGGTACCAGAAAAACAAAAAAGACACTAAGATACTAATGTTACTAATATCTGGTCCTACTCACTGAGACACTGCTGCCAATGGGAGTCTGGCCTAGGCAACAGAATTTTTAAGTTCCACCGAGTGATTCTAATGTGCAGCCAATATTGCAATGCTCTGTGCTAAAAAGTTCTGTAACCCTTAATTAAGCTATAATTAACTCAGTGGTCTTGAAAAAGCTCTTAGACCTCTTGCTCTATTGGCCCGTGCATTAAAAACAAACCAAAGCACCATAAATAAAATTAAACCTCACTTCACAGCTTCAGCGTCACAGTCAGGAAGCAACTGTGCAAAAATAGAAATTAGCTAAAAGGCCAGGCCCTGGTGGCTCACACCTGTAATCCCAGCTACTCAGGAGGCTGAGACTGAGGATCTCGGTTCAAAGCTAGCCTGGGAAGGAAAATCCATGAGACTCTCATCTGCAATGAACCACCAGAAAACTGGAAGTGGCACCGTGGCTCAAAGTGGCAGAGAGCTAGTCTTGGGCAAAAGAGCTCAAGGACAGTACCAGAGCCATGAGTTCAAGCCTCCCAACCAACACAAAAAGAAATCAGCTAAAAATGGAAAATAATTGACTTGAAGAGAAAGTTGGGCAAGGATGATAGGAACAAAGACCTATGTCTGTAATACTATCTCATGTGTGAATGTGAGTGTGTGTATCTGTGCACAGAGGGAAATGATTGAGAGCCCTGCACATTTGGATTGCAACCCCAGTTCTACCACTTTCTTCCTGATGTTTAGATCTGCAATTAACCTAATGGTAATGCACTTGGCACCTAGCTTAGTTTCCCTTCTATCCCTCAAGCTTTAAGACCAGCTGTTCCCAGCCCTGGTTGCTAGTCACTTGTGTGTGCTTTTAAAACATGACAGTGCCACTCCACCAGTGGCTCACACCTGTCATCCTAACTACTCAGGAGGGTCATGGTTCAAAGCCAGCCTGGGCAGGAAAATCCCTAAGACTCTTCTCTTCAATTAAACCACTAAAAAGTCAGAAGTGACATTGTGGCTCAAGGGATAAAGTGCTTACTTTGAGTGGAAAAGCTAAGGGACAGCACCCAGGCTCTGAGTTCAAGCCCCAGTGCCAGCACAAAAAAAAAAAAAAAAGCTGGTGTCTGCCTGGGTTAAACCCCTGATCAATTAATCAGACTCTCAAGGAGGGGGAGAAGCAACAGCTCAGTAGCTGGTGTTTAAAAAGCTCTTCAGGTGATTCAGATGTATTGCTGGGGCTCAGTATCACCAAGTTAAGTAAGTTGTTTGTGAAACTAGCTCTTGACCGAAAAAACCACAAGGGATCTGAGGGAAGAAACAAACAAATAGGGCTTGGGGAAGGGGGGATTCTTACTGCAGGGAAGTTTAACAAACACTAGGCTAAATGCAGGGGTAACAGTTCCCCAAACCGAGGGTACTGCTATAACTCTGAAAAGTCTGTTTCATATCTACCAAACCATACCACATCAACTACCTAACTATAACATTATTCTGCACCCACAACTTGCTTATAAGACAGTAAGTAATAATTCCCAGTGGATGTTCTTCTTTTCTGGTTAGCATACAACATTTCTAAGCTATTTAGCTCAAAGAGTCTACATTGTTGTTACCAATCCTACTTTTTAGGGAAGAAAACCAAGAATGAAAACTATCAGTGCCTTCTCCCTTCAATTCATATACCCCCTTCTCATTTCACAGCCCAAATCAATAAATCACCAGTCTCTGCAAGGAACAAATACCGACAGGCTCCAATCCCCCCTCACCCCACCACTACCACCAGGCTGTCTGTGGCAAAGCTTTGAAAATTTGGTCATTTTTAACTAGCACCCAGGTGATGTCTGTTGCTGGCCTGGAGATCACAGTTACTAGAACCACCTGTTTAGGCAGCCTCCCTTCCCTGAGATGGGGGTTTCTTTAGCACAAAATGGAAAAGCGAATTCAAATCGATTTAAGTCATTTGTCTTCAGCATGGAGTTGATCTTTCTTCTGAAAACTGGATCTGCTTAGGGGAGTGGTCAGTGGAGGAGGAACGAGAGACTCTATTCAGGCTGATCTTTGGTCATCTACACCCGAGGACAAAAACAAACAAGCAAACAAACAAAAAAAAAAGCTATTCAAGAGCTGAACTCAACAGAAACCTTCCCACAGCTGAGACTGCGAGGTGAGCTATCCCGAGGTGTGGCCACGCACCCGCCTCAAGGAAAGTGACTGAGAAGAAGAGGCAGCCAGGCGGCCACCGGTGTTGGCTCCAGACTCGAGGGCGAAGGTACCCGGACCTCAGACGGCTGGCAGAGCCCGTCCCCGGATTCCAAAGCCCGGAAGGAACTCGCCCTCGCCTGCGGGCGACCCCAACCGCTTCACACCAAGGCTGCTCACCTCACCCCTCCACCCACCATCCTTCTTCACCATCCCCCCCAAACCCTCACGTTGAACACCCAATGTTGTCTCTTTGTTCTCCACCATCTTCCACTCAAGACTTAGGGACCCTACAACTCCTCCCAGGATCCCTACCAGCCAAGGAGACGGACGGACAGACCCAGACTGCCAGACACAAACACCATTTCCCCACTCAAAGCCCTTCTCCACCCCCCCACTTCCGGCGTCGCCCCCCGACCCGGCCCCTACCCCAGGCCCCTCCGCACCCTCCACTCCGCCGGCGCCGGGCTCCCGCGGCCGCCCCGAGCCCCCAGCCCAGGGCCACCGCCCTCCTCACCATGAAAAGCCGGAGGACGCCGGAGTCTCCAAAGCCCGACTGAGAGGCAGGAAACTCCCTGCTGGCCGGAGCCGGAGGCGGAGGCGGGGCCGTGGGCGGGAACTTCCGCTGTTCCCATCTCACTTCCGCCCCGCAGAGAGCACCAGCTTCAAGGGTCCGGTGGCGATCGACTGCTTTTCCCCCCCCCCCAACCTTCGCGACAAGAAATAAATAAGGTGTCACCTCCTCTCGGCTGGGTTCAGGAATGTAGCCTATTCCTGAATGTTCCGAAAGACATGGGGTATTAGGGGGGGCAGGAGATGCAGGGAATTTTTCTTGACCAAGCAAAATAAGCTCTGCGGAACTGTTGTTTCCAAGAACCGGAAACTTAGTTTCCTGGCGGAACCTGCAGAGCGAACACCCGGGGCAAGATGGCGGCGGTGCAGCGGCCGCTGCCCCGGGGCTGGCAGGTTTCGGGGATACTGGGCTGAGGCGGCCGGCGGCAGCTGAGGCCCGGACCCCGAACGCGGGGCCTCGAGCGGAGAAAGGGTAGCGAGTGGGGCATAGGGCGAGCGATCCTTCGGGTAGTGGGCCGGCGGCGTTCAGGGCGGTGGGGCCGGGGCCGAGTTCGTGTCTGGCCCGATCGTTGTCGCTGGCCTTCGTGATCCGGGCATCCTCTCTCCTCAGCCCTCTCCGTCTCTTTTCATCCTTGAGGCGATAGGCCTGTAGTATCGGACTAATGCTGGGCGAAAAGAACTTGTTATTTTGGTTGTTGGTGCCGAGGAAAGACGCTGGGCGTCGGGAGTCACCCAAACTGGAGTTCGAATCCTAGTCCCTCGCTGTGTGACCTTGGGTGAGTCCACTCACCTCCCTGACCCTGTTTCTGCCTCTCTAAAAAGGAGTCCTTAGATCGTTTCACAGAGTGTTTTAGTACCACACTGGACGCTCAGTGTCTAATAAAGACTTGATTGTAATTTGACTCCCAGACGTAGGCTCACGGGCAGCCGTGCATTCTCAGCTTCTTTGTTGTGCTTTTAATGGGGGAACTCTGGGCCAATAAATAATTGTTTTGGGGTTTTAATTCGGGAGTCGAGGGAACTCTGGCAAGTCTTGTGCTCTCCGCATTTCATTTTCCCCATCGAAAGTGGGAACGATGATAGATAGCAACCATCTAAATAGGCTGTGGCTATCCGTAAATGATAGCTAGTATTACTGATGGTTTCTCCAAGTCCTGTTGCCCATTCTTGAACTTAAGATTTTTAGACTGTTTGATCTGATAGTACAGAGCTGTTGAAGACAGGGTTAAATATCTGTGTAGTATCTGATACATTGCCTGTTCTTAACAAATGATGGTCATTAAATCTCACCATAAAGAAAAAAGTCACTCTGCAGTTAGTATATATGGTACTTCATTTTAGGATGATATTCAGGATTGTCCAGAGTCTTTTCTCTTTTTCTCCCCAAAGTCTGGCTATGTAGCCCAGGCTGGCTTCAAACTACCAGCCCTTCCTCCACCTCCTGAGTGCTGAGATCACAAGTGAGCAATACCTTGCCCAGCGCTGTCGTGTGTTTTTCTTAAAATTGGCTTTATCCAGAAAAGGCTAATGTTTTGAAGCAAGTCTCGTTGGAGTATAGAAGTAAATACAGAGTTTGAACCCTGTTTTGTTAGTATTAAAAGCTTGTCCCTCCCACTTACCAATAGTCTAACCTGGTCTAACTGTGTGGTCCTCTCACATAGTTGCTGCCCTTATTAGAGGCGATTACTTAGAAAAGACTTGACACTTAGGAACTTCCACTCATTCCCTTTTCAAATGATCTTTATTACCACTAGCCTCCCTCTTGTTTTCCAGCCTTTCTAGCTGTAGGATTTTATTTCTCTTAACTGAGTTGTGTTCTCTGTAAGGACAATAGAGTAAAGCTCGCATGCCATATGTTTTCTAATAGCCCTTGTTGCTAATTTCACATTTATGTTTTGTGACTAATTTCAGGTACAGGAATAGTAAATATTTCACCCAATGCTTTTAGTAACTCTAGGACATAGGTACTGTTACTATCTTCAATTTACAGATAACCTAAAGTCTAGAGTAGTAGATAAGTTTACTTAGTGAAATGAGAGGTAGAGTCAGAACAAAAAAGGAACCAAGGCTACTTTTTCTAACTCAGACTTGGAGTCTCTGGCATGTTGCCAAATAAGTACTTAATAGTGATGTTTTTTTTTCAGTTGATGACTATAATATGCAAGTAAAGGAAGTATATAGGGAAGGATGAGAAAAGCTGAAAAAGCATAGATTTTTATTGTAAACAGAAACCAGCATAGAAACATTGCTTTGGGAATGCTCAACTCAAGGAAGGGATTGTATTTTAGGAGGATTCCTGAGAGAAGTAGGTTTTGAAATAGTCTTACACATACTTAGGAGCAGTTTGTATACAACCTTTTATTTTTCTGTTGGGAAGAAGTTTTCTCGTGTGATCTCCATGTCATCCTGCCATGTCCCCACATACCAAAAAATAGGACATATGGAGAGAGAATATTGTATTGTGCTCAGGGCTTGAGCCCTGCTCATATGCACCTCTCAGGAGTGTGTAGCTGTTCTGCTGTTAGAACAGGACCAGGGGCTCATAGCCCAAGCACTAGGACAGGTAAACCTTCGTCCACTCAAAGATAGGAAAAAAAAAAAAAAAGGAGCCTAAGAACCTTAGTAATTACAGTTGGGAGCTTTGGAAAAAGGTTTGTTTTTTGTTTTGTTTTGTTTTGTTTAACAAACTAGTGTTCATAAGAATAATGAATTAGGCATATTGACTGTGCTCTGTCAGCACCTCAGTAGGAACTCGATACACATCATCCCATAGACCTCATGGTAGACCTCTGAGCCGACTAATGAAATAAAGACTAGCTGGGCACCAGTGGCTCACACTTATAATTCTAGCTATTCAGGAAGTTGAGATCTGGAGGACTGCAGTTCGAATCCAGCCTGGACAAAGAAGTCCTTGAGAACCCATCTCCAAAATAACCAGCCAAAAGCAGGGCTAGAGGTATAGCCTGAGTGATAGAGGCCCAGCCAAGCAAGTATGAAACCCTAAATTCAAACCTCACTACCACACAAACGCACACGCATGCACGCACACACTCTCACACACACAGACTATAACTCAACTGACAGTACTGATAGCCAAGAACTGGCTCTGCCTCCAGCTGTGTGACTCCAAAGCAGTACTTCTTCGGTTGCTGTGCCAACTTACCATGTGCTTTCTGTGGAAAGTTTAGAAAATAGAAGCAAGGAATCAATCCCCCTACCATAAAATTATCACTCTTCTGCCTCCAGACCCCACAGTGCTTTAGGTAGAGCCAGGCCTCACCCTTAACCAGTCACATGTTAGCGTATTTTACAGCAGCTTTTGTGCTGTGTGCATTCAATTTCCTTTTCCATTAGATAATCAGGATCATGTTGTTTTACTAGCAGCTCTTCTTTTACTTCTAAGGCACAAGAGTTTTCCCATATCATTAAAAATTTTAAACATAGGGCTGGGAATATGGCTTACTGGTAGAGTGCCTAGCATGCATGAAGCCCTAGGATCAATTCCTCAGCACCATGAACAGAAAAAGCTAGAAGTGATGCCATGGCTCAAGTAATAGAGTACTAGCCTTGAGCAAAAGAAGCTTAGGGACAGTGCCTAGGCCCTGAGTTCAAGCCCCAGGACTGGGGGAAAGAAAAAAAATGTTAAACAGTACCAGGTGCCAGTGGCTCACATCTGTAATCCTAGCTGCAAATTAGAAGGCTGAGATCTGAGGATTGAAGTTTGAAGCTAGTCTGGATAGGAAAACCTGTGAGACTCTTATTTCCATTTAAGCACCAAGAAAAAAATAAAGCTAGAAGTAGAGCTGTGACTCAAGTGATAGAACACTAGCCTTGAACACAAAAGTTCAGGGATAGTGCCTAGGCCCTGAGTTCAAGTCCCAGGACCAGCACGCACACACCAATTAAACATCTTCAGTGGCTTTTTAACAGTCTATCTTTTCTTTAGGCCCTGAGTTCAAGTCCCAGGACCAGCACACACACACACCAATTAAACATCTTCAGTGGCTTTTTAACAGCCAATCATTTCTTTTTGCTTATTATATCTAGCTTTCATTCAGTAATTTATTTGGGATGATTTTCAGCCTTTTTCCAAAATTATAAGTACTAGAAAATAGAAAAGTAAGAGTCTAAACAGATGATACATTGAAGAGGACAGAGTGTGTTTAATCATGACACTATATTAATTACTTGTGTTCAGACAGATCATTCCCCACCTGTAAAGCTTACTCCTAAGTCTGGATTTTTTTTCCTTCTGCTTCTACCAGGAAGCACAAGCTCCTTTGACGCAAGATGCTGTCCTCCACTGAGTGTCCTGTGGAAGATCACTAATGGTTACTTAGTGTCTCTGCTATATAGGCAGGTCCTCAGGTGAGTTATCCAGACTCAGGAGGGTGGGCAGTTGGGTGGAAAGACCGAAAGACAGCTAGCTGCCTTTTCCCCTCCTATGGCTAGCCAGGCTCTGTTCATTCGTTTCAGAAATAACCGATGATAGACCAACTTGTATTTGTTGACAGGTAGGAGTCAGTGCTGAGTAGGGACAGCAGATCCTTTGGCTGCGGTCATGTGGTAGGAACCTAGCATGTAAAGAAGTTTCATTCCAGCTGTTGCTTTGAGCGAATTATCCTGATAAAGAGAAGCTTTTTATAGAAACCAGAATATGGCTCAAGTGGTAGTGTGCTTGCCTAGCAAGCATGAGGCCATGTGTTCAAACCCCAGTACTGCCAAGAGAAGATGAGAGAAAAAGGTGGGAAGAGATGTTTTTCCAAAAGTCTAGATTTCTGAGTAATTCAGTATTTTTGTCAACTGGGTTGCTTATGTGTTTTGGATAGAATGGCAAACTTATGAAGCCCCTAAAGAAATCATCTCAGTATGGAGGCTGTATGCATCGATGAGGTCTGCCTCTGACTGCTAACATAAGCCTCCCTTGGAGAGGAAGGATGGTTACTCGTGCTTAAATGATCACCACACAATGTCCTTTAGAGGCCTCTGCCCAGCAAAGTACCTGTCTGTGGACATGAGCAACTGTGCTGTAAAATCCACCAGTGTGGAAGCAGTAAGGATTTGGGAACAAGTGACCCGTGAGTGGGACCATTCTACATTCTGAAATCATGCACAGCACCTTTTGCTTTTTTAATATTAAAATGGCCACTGTAAAAAAATAAAAAGCCGGGTCCTGGTGACTCACATAATCCTAGCCACTCAGGAAAGATCTAAGGATCCCAGTTCCCAGCTATGCTGGGTAGACAAATCCAAAAAATCCACTTAGCCAACAGAAAGCTAGAATCAGGTGTAGCTCAAATGGAAGAGTGCCAGCCATGAGTAAAACCGCTGAGTGAGAGCATGAGGCCCCGAGTTCAAGCCCCAGTTTCAAAAAAAGATTTGTTCTCTGTGTGTTCAGCCACAACATAGAAACCTTTTGTTCAGTGAGTGGATGACTAAGATAATGCTGACAATATAATTGTATTTGAGTTTTCCCTCAAGATTTACCTGGCAGTTGGGTGCTGGTGGCTTACGCCTGTAATCCTAGCTACTCAGGCTAAGATCTGAGTATCATAGTTCAAAGCCAGCCCGGGGAAGAAAGTCTGTGAGACTCTTTTTTTTTTTTTTTGGTCGGTCGTGGGGCTTGAACTCTGGGCCTGGGCGCTGTCCCTCAGCTGTTCAGCCCAAGGCGAGCCCTCTACCACTTGAGCTACAACGCCACTTCCGGTTTTCTGGTGGTTTATTGGAGATAGGAGTCTCATGGTCTTTCCTGCCCGGGCTGGCTTTGAACTGTGATCCTCAGATCTCAGCCTCCTGAGTGGCTAGGATTACAGGCGTGAGCCACCAGCGCCCGGCTATCTGTGAGACTTTTATGTCCAGTTAACCACCAGAAAACCAGAAGTGGTGGGCTGGGAAGGTGGCTCAGTGGTAGAGCACTTGCCTTGCATGCCTGAGGCCCTGGGTTCAAGTGGCGCTGTGGCTCAAGTGGTAGAGTGCTAGCCTTGAGCTGAAGAGCTGAGGGACAGTGCCCAGGCCCAGAGTTCAGGCCCCATGACTGCACCAAAAAAAAAGAAAACCAGAAGTGGCATTTTGGCTCACATGGTCACGTGGTAGAGCATTAGCCTTAAGCTGAAGAGCTAATGGACAGCACCCAGGCCCAGAGTTCAAGACCCATGACCAACAACAACAACAAAAAAAATGGAAGGACACTGTTTAATTGTTGACCTTCCTCCCCCCACACACAAAATACAGTGGCCTGTTGCAGAAAATGCAACAGGATACCTGGTTTGAATTGGAGCCTTATGGATAGGATTAATTCAGGCCTTATTTACTTGTTAAACTTGTACAGACCTTTGCCTGTCCTTCTATGCCAGGCACTATGCATTTTCTCTCAAGAAAAGGTCATTGTTTCATACAGGTTATAGCTCCCTGGGTCATGGAGTGAGTGGGAGGTTAGCACTTGTGCCTGAGAGTGGTGAATAGGTCCCTGCTGCCTTTGCACTCAAGCCCCTTTCTGTGGATGGTTTTCACCCACTGGTCTCCAGCAGCTCTTCACTGTCTGCCTTGCAGGGTTTGTGCCAGCTAGCAAACATGTTCACAGTATCTCAGACCTCACGAGCGTGGTTCATCGATAGAGCCCGGCAGGCCCGAGAAGAGCGGCTGGTGCAGAAGGAGCGGGAGCGTGCGGCTGTGGAGATTCAGGCCCACGTGCGCAGTTTCTTGTGTCGGCGAAGCCTGCACAGAGATATTAGGTAGGTGCCAGGAATTCTGCAGCATGTTTCTCTTGCTCCCAAGTAGTAGAAAACAAATGGCAGGTGCTGGTGGCTTATGCCTGTCATTGTAACTATTCAGGAAGCTGAGATCTGAGGATCATGGTTCAAAGGTAGCCTGGGCAGAAAAGTTCGTGAGACTCTTACCTCCAACTGAAGCACCAATAGGCCGGAAATAGCTGTGGCTCCATTGTGCCTTAAGCAACAAAGTTCAGTGATAGTACCCAAGAAACACACACACACGCACACACACACACACACACACACACACACACACACACGAAAAGACAGTATCCAGGTCCTGAGTTCAATCCTTAGTACTGACAAAAAGAGAAAAGACAAATGAGTTTTCCCTTAGAGTGCTTAGAAAGCCTTCCAGCAATCATGAGCTCCTAATGAAAAATGCCTTTTCTTTAACCCTTTCCTCCGTAGGAGAGAGATTGATGAGTTTTTTAAAGCAGATGACTCTGGATCCAGTAAAAGAAGTGCACTTTGTATTTTTAAGACTGCCAGAAAACTGCTGTTCATATTCAGAATCAAAGAAGATAATGAGGTAAGTCATAAGAATAAGCATACCAGGGCTTTGTATAAGTACTTTTTAGATACAAACTCATTTGTTCTTAGAGCACCTCTGGGAGAAAGGCATTTTTACCCCTTCACCTGCCCCCTTTGTTTTCTTGGAACCTGCTCTGCAGAGATTATGCCCAACAAGCCTGAGCAGGACTATGATGCATTTAGGAGCTGTGCAGCCTGGGACAAAGCACCATGTAAAGTAGGAATCACTTTAGTCAGTGGCTGACAGGTTTCAGGGAGTAGTCTATGCTAGTCAGATACTGAGGCAGAGGACCCATACTCTTGATTTTTTTTAAGAGATGCTGGAGATCTGGGTCTTTTTATGCTTGATGTTCTAATATGTCAAAGTTTGTGGCTAATTTGATTTTTCTTTCACATCTTGTAAACCAAACCAAACATACCAATCTGCATTTTGGGGATTAGAGCAACTAGAAAATGTATCTTCAGGAAGGCAGTAGGCATCTCAGTGCTGAGCATACCCTTGAGGTCCTGCAAGGAAACCAGACAGACAGGTTGTATACACTCATGGCCCAGTAGGAGAGGAAGGAGAACCCAAGAAAGACCACACAGTCATGAGGATAGGTACAGACAAACCCCATTAAGGGCGGGGAAACTTTGGGAACCACAGTTTTCAGGGTGGAGCTAGGGCTTCCATAGCCACAGTGCAATCTGTTTGCCTGCTTCTACTTTCCTTTTTTGTGTCAGGATCAAAGCAATGATAACAGTGAGTAGCTCAGAGTACCACAACAATGAGTTGTGAGCAGAACTCAGTGTCCCTGCTGCTTACAGCATGACAGACTGCAGAGCACTCGTCAGCAGACAGCTGCCAGGCTGCAGGAATCCAGGCCCAGTTTTCCAAAAGAAGCCCTATCCTGGATTTCTATGTGGAATATATACATTTCTCAAACACATCTGGAAGGCTCATCCAGCCTATAGGCCACCAGTTTGAGACTCTGTCCTTAGCCTTCCGGTCCTCAACTTCCACATCTGTAAGAAGGAACTAAGTGTGACGTGTTGCCTGCCTGTGCCAGTCCCCACCACACTTGCGTTCCCTCCACCCCCTTTCCCACATTCAGGTTCATTGGGAGTCTCTAATCCCCTTTCTGTCTCCACAGCGGTTCGAGAAGTTGTGTCGCTGCATCCTCAGCAGCATGGATGCTGAGAGTGAGCCTAAGGTGAGCGGGTGAGGAGCCGGGAGCCTTCCCCAGCCCTAAAGGCCAACATCTTCCCCACTGAGAGTTCCTGCTGAGCTTAGGACTTTAACTCACACACGTGTGCAAATAAGTCACAGACTTGCACAGACAAAAGTATGTGCAAATAATTCCTTGATCCTCATTGTCCAAGAAGCTATGTTTTGTGTTTACCCCTTAACTCAGGATAGCAGACACTTTTCTAGACTCCTCATCTTTTTTTTGTTGTTTATTTTTTGAGATTCTAGGGTTTGGAGTTTGAACCCAAGAGTTTCATGCTTGGCTAGATCGGTGCTCTACCACTGAGCCATGCCTCCAGCCCTTTTTTGTACTGGTTATTTTTGAGCTAGGATCTCACTTCCTGCATGAGCGCACACTCACTTAGACCCCGATTCTCCAGTGGTTAGCCTTCTGGCTGTAGCTAGATGACAGGAACACGACACCTCACCCAGTTTCTTTCATTGAAATGGACTCTTACAACCTTTTCTGTCTGCCTGGTTCTGGCCTAGAACCAGTCTTTTCAACCTCAGCCTCCTCCATAGCTAGGAGCACAGGCATGCTTCATCACACCTAGCTGTAGGTTAAGGGGGGCAGCCTCACAAACTTCTCAAGTCCTCTCCATCTCAGCCTCCCAGGTAGCTATTAGAGGCACAAGCCAACTGCACCTGTCTTGGGCTCCTCCTCTTTGGATTTAGTGTTAAAAAGTCCTGATGTCTGCTTATTCATCTGTTTTCCTCACTGCCTTATTGGATAATGGCCCTAGCTAGCAGGTCCAGTTCCAGTGGTCACACCATGTATAGTAAGGTCCTGTAACCAGTCACTCCTCTTTGTCCTGCTTATAGGTGTGGTACGTGTCCCTGGCTCTCTCCAAGGACCTCACTCTCCTGTGGATTAAACAGATCAAGGACATTCTGTGGTACTGCTGTCAATTTCTTGAGCAGCTCAAGGTAAAAAGGGGGGAAAAATCTGAAATCTCATTCTATCAGACAGCTTTCATGGATATTTTCAGAGTCCCCATCCTTCCCTCATTGTCTAGGCCTTTGTCGATCTATCAGTGCTTGTCTAGTAAGGAATAACTGGCTGAGCCACTGTTTGGAGAGAAAGCTAGAAGTTAGGTAGATGCAGTGGCCATTCTGAGCCCCTCTTAGCTATAATATGTGGGACCATTGACCACACTTGCAAGCCTCGATGCTAAGGAATTCTGTCTTCCTTCCTGGTCTTTGGATATAGTGGATACTTTGTGTTGTGGTATTTATACCATGTTATCAAATTCGCCTCTTCCGTTACAGCTTTTCTCCCCCTCCCTTTCATTATTTCTTCCATGCATATGAAGTACTTGATCACAATCACTCCCCCAACTTCTTCCTGCAAACAGTGGTTACCTCTCATCCTAATTAGAACAATAATTAGAAACGAAAGCACAGAGAGGCGAAGAAACTTGCCCAGGATGACAAGCCAGAAGTGAGAGTTCCGAATCACCGTCAGGCTCAGCAGCATTTCCCACTCTTTGGCAACCATGTCCAAACACACAGACAGGTACAGGCCCATATGGCCAGCCTGCTCACATGATTCCTGGGAAGGGAGAAGTGAGATTCTCTCTTCCCAGGAATGTTTGATTGAGTTGCTGAAGGACTGGTGTGACAAGACCTGTGGTCCTTCCCAGAGGAAAGTGTGCCCCTGGGCCTCTGACCCACTGGTGCCAGTCAGCGCACAGAGGAGAATCGTAAAGGGATGCTCTCTGTGTGGGGCAGAGGTTGTGTGTTCTAATCCTTCCTTTGTTGTTTCCAGCCTGAAATCCTACAAGACTCCAGACTCATCACCCTGTACCTCACGATGCTCGTCACCTTCACAGACACTTCAACATGGAAAATTCTCCGGGGCAAAGGTCTCAAAATACCTGCCTCACCAGTATTGCGTTGGGGGGGGAGGCGGGGGG